GTAATGCAAGAACTAGTAAAGCAATTAAGTTAAAGCAAGTCAAAGAGTGAGTGTCATTGGAAATAAGCTTGGAGTGATCCCAGGTGGTTCCATCACTACCATCCTGAGATCACAAGCTCTTCTAGACTTGTGTCTCTCAACCTCAGCAATTCAACATGTGAAAATCTCAACTCCCAGAATTCCCCAGCTAGATTTTAATTCTGGGAGTTGATGCACAATGTTAAAGTTGCTGAGAAACATGATCTACACAGGAACGTAAAAAATCAGAATAACATAATTACAGTGTTGGAAGGAACCTGGGAGGTCTTCTAGTCCAAGCCCCTTTTCAAGCAGGAGACCCCGGTTCTCTGTGTGGATGCTGTTTCCGGAAGTCCATTCTGGGTCTGGGCAACATAAAATTAGCTACCAGTTCTACCAAACTGGTGTAAACTGGCTGAATCCCACCAATGAGGAGACCTATACTATTACAGGCAAGTTGCTGTCCAGTCTCTTCTGAAAAGCCTCCAGTGATGGAACACACACAACTTCTGAAGGCAAGCTCTTCCATGGGTTAATTGTTTTCACTATTAATCATCATTAGCCACTGTTAATCAGTTTCTCTTCTATCCAGAGCAGGAACTAGAAGGACCTGGTGATCTCTTAAGAAAATGCCAACTGCTTTTCCAACACTCTCCTTCCTTAGAATGGAAGGAAAACATTTGCTGTTGTTTTTCTCCATGCCACAAATGGGGGGGAGACAGAGAAGCAAGCGGTGAGGCATCTAGCTGATGTTGATGTTTTTGTTGCTTGGAATCTAGAGCATCAGAGGAGGAGAATGAGAATCCCTACAGACATTTGATCTTAAATGGAAGAGATAAAGGTTTCCCCTGTCCAGTTGTTCTTCAATTCTAGGGGGAAGTGCTCATCTCCATTTCCTAGCCAAGGGAACTAGCGTTGTCTGAAGATGCTTCCATGGTCATGTGGCAGGCATGAGCATACGCCGAGGTGCACAGAACGCTGTTAACTTCTCATCAAAATGGTACCTATTTATCTACATGCATTTGCATCTTTCAAACTGCTAAGTTGGCAAGGAGCTGAGGCACGAACAGGGGCTCACTCCATTGTGCTGTGCTCGGGTCTCAAACCGTCAGCCTTTCGGTTGATAAGCCCAGCATATCTTCATATCCCATTTTGCGCCAATCCAAGAGCAATAATGATCAAGCAGCAGCTTGATCAGCTAAAAATGCAGAAGGGGAAATGTCACAGGGACCACTGTTGTAAATTAATCCTTTATTGCTGTTTTTTTAATTGAAAACATATTTGAGGCGTTTTAAGAGAAGTATAAAATATTTGAAGTAAATAAATATTGAAAGGAAGGCAGAAGTGAATAAAAATTGCCTGAACAGCAGTGGCAACACCTTTTAAAGCTTATTTTCTTACAGCCACAAAAAATGGAGTGGGGGCCAGATGTAGGGACAATAGTAATTGAGCTTCCTTTGGCCCCATTTTTTTTCCTGTATCCCATCTGCTTTGAAATGTTTAATGGCTGCATTCACACAACAAGCTTAATCAGGTCAGTTACAAACTTAAATCAGCATTCCCATACGTGTAATTAGTATTTAAATATAACTATATTCTAGTCTAGACATCATCTCTGGAATTCCCCAATAGTTTCCCACAGCTAGCCCTGTTCCAACATCACCCAAAAATAGACAGGGGCTACCATCTTGTGCAAGATTTCTCAACCTCCACAACTTTAGAAAATGTGGGCTTCAAGTCCCAGAACTCTCCAGCTGGAATGCTGAGGTTGAAAAACACTTGAAGTTGCTTTTTAACAACACTTAAAGTTGTATTAAGAGACTCTCTTAAAGTTGCAGAGGTTGAGAAACACTGATCTACTGAGACAGACTAGATATCTGGACTATAAGCAAAATATGATGAATCACAGGGCAGGAAAAATGGAAAAAGAAGAAAGGAGGAGGAGGAGGAGGAGGAGGAGGAGGAGGAGAGACATTGGATGTCTTCATGTAGCTTTAACCATGTCACCTGCAGTAACAACTAGGTTTGAATCGTTTCAACATTGGATAATTGTGATTTAGTGGCCTACCATATTGCATGATTCCATTTAGTTAGCCAATATTGCAGTTGTGCAAATAAAGAAAACGGAATAGCCATGTTGTGACTAAATACAGCTTCTGTTTTTCACAATTAAGTAAAAAAGTTGAACCTCATCCTATTCCAATTCTTTATCCACTAAAGGGGAGGGTAGAATTTTTTGAGTGGCTGGCTGAGGGTTGCAGTGCAAAACATTGAGTGGGGCCAGTGTGCAGGTATCAAAATACTAGAAGTGCTCCTCCATTTATATTTCACACTTACATACAGTGAAAGTTGACAACCATGTTCAAATCCAGTGAAATCACCCTGATGTCCTCTACTCACACTTTGCCAATCTGGCTCTTCTGGAAGAAATGAGTTTGTGGACCCTTCACAGGGCAGGGTCCACATCTTCCCCACTGATCAGGACCATAGAAACAAGAAACTGGGTGCATAAATCAATCCCATGCCAAATTCCTTCCTTCAGGTTTCAGGTTGAGCGTTTAGCCACTGGAAAACTAGTACCAGAGTTTGCCAGCCTTTCTCAGTTCTTTGGAAAATCAAAGGTACAACAATTTGTGTGAGTGGGAAGCTGAAAGCAGACCAACAGGGTAGAAGAAGTAGGGAGGGACCACAGAAGATGACCAGGCAGACAGAAACTCAGAAGCAAATATTAAGAAGGAACAGCCCCACTAGAAAAGACTGGACCAAGTTGTACCAAGAAACAATTCCTGATGCAAAACTGCACATGTTGGTTGTGACTTCAACGTTGCGGCCAGCAACAAACAATGCCACCGCTCCCATGTCACATAAATTCTTGGTAGCACATCCTGTGAAGGCAACCTGTTGGTCCTTGAATTCTTCTACATTGGAAGGATGGAAAGGAAAAGGATTAACCAGGTTGAATGGATAGAACTATCTCTAGAATTCTTCAGAGAATAACAGGGAGTTCCCAATTCTGCTGCGTTTCCGTATATTTATTAACATGGTTGTAAATTCACTTTGACAAAGATGGAGTCAAGGGCTAGCTCTCAGCTCACCACCATTCATTTAGTGATCGAAGTCACAATGACTCTGAAAAAAGTGACCTATGACCCAGTCTTCACACTTCACAACCATCACAGCATCCCCACAATCATGTGATCCAAACTTGGCTACTTGGCAACCGGCATGCATTTACAATGGGTTGCAATGCTCCAGGTTCTTGGGATTGTCATCTGAAACCTTCTGACGTGCAAAGCCAATGAGAGAAACAGGATTTGCTTAATAACCATAATACTACTACTTAGCATAACACAATAATAATACTTAACAACTTCAGTGATTCACTTAAGAATTGCGGCAAACTCCCCCCCCCCAAAAAAAAAATTTGGGTGCAACTTACTTAACAATTGCCCTGCTTAGCAACATGAATTCTGGTCCCAAAATGTGGTTTGAAGTTGATGATGACTTATCGACAGTAGAATTCCAATTGACAAAAGATTTTGCTCTTCACCATAGCCGGTCCTCTTTCTATCTACCATATTTTTCTGTGTATAAGACGCTATTTTTTTCCTGCAAACACCCTCTTCAAAAGTCAGATGCGTCTTATACGCGGAAAAATAATGGTAACCTCCGCAGGGGGTCCAGGGCATGCCTGTGTGCGTTGCCATGCCGCCTGGTGCAGGTGTCAAGCCCCTGTGGGCTTGCCACTAATGGGAGGGGGGAAGGGGCAAGATCTTCAGCTGGCCGAACTTGCGGATTTGCCGGCTCAGCTGTTTGGCGCTCCGCCGAACAGCTGATCAGCACGGAGACCCTCTTATACAAGGGTGCGTCTTAGAGACAGAAAAATATGGTACTTACCTTTCTTGGCACGGGTGGCAAAGTGGATGCAGTGGGTCATGAGGCCTGTGCAGGCCATCTCGGTCTTGTTGAGACACAAATCTGTGCCATGGGCAAAGCATGAATTGCAATGGACTCCATTCCGATTCTGAGATGCTTTTTGAACTATGGATGGAGAGACCCAAAAGAAGAACTTGAGAATCTCTACAATAGGCCACGATTTGCTCAAGTGATTAGACAAAGCAAAAAGAAAAAAAGACTCAGAGCATTGGTGCTTATGTATGTTGTCTTAGCATCCTGGATGGGTGCAACAGATACCGCCAAATTTTCCCTGCCGTTATTTATTTTTATTTATTTATTTTTATTTTATTTTTGGACTTATATGCCGCCCTTCTCCCCATGGGACTCAGGGCGGCTCACAGCATATTAAAACAGTATAAAACATTATCCCCAATAAAAACCAATTAAAAACAAATATTTGTCGCTGTGTCTTATTAAAATTATTAAAATTGTCCCTATTTAAAATTCACCCTAGGCCAGACCCGCTTGCTGAAAAAGCCATGTCTTGAGGGCGCGGCGGAAAGCTAGGAGATCCGGAATCGTCCGGATCTCGGGGGGTAGTTCGTTCCAGAGGGTGGGGGCNGAACCTGATAAAACGCCCCCCTGGTCACGGCCGACAAATGGTCTTCCAGTGTCAGCCGTGGATCCAGGAGGACACCCAAGTTGCGTGCCCTCTCTGAGGGGGCCAAAGTTTCGCCCCCTATAGACAGCGATGGAATCAGCTGACTATGCCGGGGCGCCGGCAACCACAGCCACTCAGTCTTGGAAGGGTTGAGTCTGAGCAAGACTTTACTGAAATTAGCTTGAAAAAAAAGAACAGGACTTCCCTCTCCCCACTTCTTTCAGATGCATGCTTGTATTGAAACAAAGTTTGGCATCTTAGACAAATCACTTCTGGATAATGCCCTATGATAGGAGTCCCCAATCCCCTGGGCCATGGACCGGTACCAGTCTGTAGCCTATTAGGAACCAGGCTATGCAAGTCAGCTAAACTTCATTTGAACATGCGTGAGATCTGGATTGTTGTTAGTTGCAAAGTCGTGTCCGACCCATCGCGACCCCATGGACAATGTTCTTCCAGGCCTTCCTGTCCTCTACCATCTTCTGGAGTGCATTTAAGCTCACGCCTGCTGCTTCAGTGACTCCATCCAGCCACTTCATTCCCTGTCGTCCCCTTCTTCTATTGCCCTCAATCTTTCCCAGCATTAGGCTCTTCTCCAGTGAGTCCTTCCTTCTCATTAGGTGGCCAAAGTACTTGAGTTTCAACTTCAGGATCTGGCCTTCTAAAGAGCAGTCGGGGTTGATCTCCTCTGGGGCTGACCGCTTTGATCGCCTTGCAGTCCAGGGGACTTGCAGGAGTCTTCTCCAGCACCATAGTTCAAAGGCCTTAATTCTTTGGTGCTCAGCCTTTCTTATGGTCCAGCTTTCACAGCCATACATTGCAACTGGGTAAACCATGGCCTTGACTAGATGCACTTTTGTTGGCAGGGTGATGTCTCTGCTTTTTAATATACTGTCTAGATTTGCCATAGCTTACCTCTCCAGGAGCCTAAAAGAGAAAACCCACACTGGCCTGTGGAAAAATTGTCTTCCACGAAACCGGTCCCTGGCACCAAAAAGATTGGGAACTACTGCTCTATGAGACAGGTGGATATTTTGGAGAAGATCTTGACAGCACATATTGTCACATCTTCATACTGTATATTGCCTGTCTTCAGTAAGGAGAGGAGGAAGGAACTCAGAGCCAGTTTTTGCTAACTGCCATGAAGATGGCCTCCTCCAGATCTCATTTCTCAAGAAGTAGCCACTGTGAAAGCCACATTCCGTGGCCACATAATAGTTTCCCTGTGTTTCGAGAGCTCGTGTGCCACCTCCTGCTGCTTTCTTTCAGATTGAGAACCATTCCCCCACATTTTGCAGGGGGTTTTTTTCCCCATTCCAAAGGGATTACTGATATTCATGGGAAAGGAAAGGAACTCGGTGGCCATCCAAATGACCTTGGAATTAATCTCCCCAGAGCAGGGATAGGCAACCTTGGCTCTTTTATGACTGGTGGACTTCAACTCCCAGACTTCCTGAGCCAGCCATACTGAGGGGAAAGGGAGAGGTTTCCAAGCTGAGCCATGCTGACTCAGGAATTCTGGGAGTTGAAGTCCACCCATCTCCGAGTGGCCAAGGTTGAGAAATACAGGCCTAGGCCAGGGGTAGGCAACCTTGGCTCTTTTATGACTTGTGGACTTCAACTCCCAGAATTCCTGAGCCAGCCATGCTGAGGGGAAATGGAGAGGTTTCCAAGCTGAGCCATGCTGGCTCAGGAATTCTGGGAGTTGAAGTCCATGAGTCATAAAAGAGCCAAGGTTGCCTACCCCTGCCCCAGAGCCACTGCAAGGATCAACAACAATGGATGGTACGAATTAGCAATGCCAAGGGCTGTCTAGGGAACATGGCTGCCTTTGTCGGAAACCTGCTTTAAAAGAATTGTTCGTGTGCTGCTTAATCCGACCTGCCTGGCTTCTTTCATTGAAACCACCCCAGTTCTTTACCCGTTATTTCCTCAATGTTGCAGCGGTCAGCACGGCAGCAGCTGGAATTCCACCGCATGCGAAAATCCCCTGCCATCAACCCATAAAACTGGTTGCACAATCGGTCGTCAGAGTTGCACTTCTTCTCGTAAACTGGGTTTTCTATGTCTTGTGTCCCTGGGGATGGAAGTCAGATCAATTAAACAGTTAGGTCCAGGGGTAGGCAACCTTGGCTCTTTTATGACTCGTGGACTTCAACTCTCAGAATTCCTGAGCCAGCCATGCTGAGGGGAAAGGGAGAGGTTTCCATGCTGAGCCATGCTGGCTCAGGAATTCTGGGAGTTGAAGTCCATGAGTCATAAAAGAGCCCAGGTTGCCTACCTCTGAGTTAGGTCAATTCCTGAAAAGGTATGCCTTTTCCTCTACAGGGATAGCTCATAGGTCAAGGGCTACCCCTATGCCATACTGGTCCAGTGTGGGCTGGTAAATAGACTTTTTTTTTACTTTCCATTCTGATTCTCATCTACATATATTGTGGCAAACCTGATGAATTTCCTTTGCAACCTTTTTGAAAGCAATAAAGTCTCCTGCCTTGGGTAGGGGATTAGACTAGAAGATCTCCAAGGTCCCTTCCAGCCCTATGATTCTATATTCATAATGACCATGTATGTTGGGGATAATAGAATAGAATAACAGAGTTGGAAGGGACTTTGGAGGTCATCTAGTCCAACTCCCTGCTCAGGCAGGAAACCCTATACCATTTCAGACAAATGGTTGTCCAGTCTCTTCTTAAAAACTTCCAGTGTTGGAGCAGTCACAACTTCTGGAGGCAAGTTGTTCCACTGATTGTTCTAACTGCCAGGAAATTTCTCCTTAGTTCTAATTCTCCTTGGTTAGTTTTCATCCGTTGCTTCTTGTCCTGCCTTCAGGTGCTTTGGAGAGTAGCTTGACTCCCTCTTCTTTGGGGCAGCCCCTCAAATATTATTGGAACACTGCTATCATGTCCCCCCTCATCCTTTTCTTCGTTAAACTAGACATACCCAATTCCAGCAACCGTTCCTTGTATGTTTCAGCCTCCAGTTCCCTAATCATCTTTGTTGCTCTTCTCTGCACTCTTTCTAAAGTCTCAACATCTTTTTTACATCATGGTCACCAAAACTGGATGCAGTATTCCAAGCGTGGCCTTACCAAGGCATTGAAAAGTGGTATTAATACTTCACGTGATCTTGATTCTATCCCTCTGTTAATGCAGCCTAGCACTGTGTTCGCTTTTTTGGCAGCTGCAGCACACAGCTGGGTGCCAAATATTTAAGTGATTGTCCACTTGCACTCCAAAATCTCCCTCAAATTTACTACTATTGAGCGAGATACCACCTATACTGTACCTGTGCATTTGATTTTTCTTGCCTAAATGTAGAACCTTACTTTTTTCACCATTGAATTTCATTTTGTTAGTGCCCAATGTTCAAGTCTGTCAAGATCCTTCTGTATCTTAAGCCTACCCTGGAGAGATAGGGCTTGCTATGGGCAACCTTGAACCCATTGACATAACTCAATGACAGAACAAACCATTTTATGTAGAAGGTCCCACATCCTATCTCTATACCAGACATGTCAAACACAAGGCCCAGGGGCCGGATGCGGCCCGCAAAGTGGTTTCATATGGCCCACGAAGCCATCCTGGAAACAGTGAGGGAATGGCCCCCGCTGCCTTGGCCCTGGCCCAGGCCAGCTGGGAGCCAATGTACAATTTTGTGATGGCCATCTTAGCACTTGCCCCGGTGGACCATGCGTTGGCACTTGCCCCAGTCCCACCCCCTTCTGCCAGAGACCCTCAGATCTGTCCCACTCCTGCCCAGGCCCCCATAGACACCCTTGATGCGAATGATGTAGAACTGGCCACGCCCACCCAGTAGGCCACACCCACTCCATCCATGCCCACCCAGTAGGTTGCACCCACTCTGGCCACACCCACCCGGCCCCCCCAGGGCAACCGCAATGCTGATGCGGCCCTCAGTGAAATTGAGTTTGACACCCCTTCTCTATACTCCAAATCAAGTAAGGAATTTCAGATAGCAATGTGGGGAAAGATGGCTTAGCAACCTCAGGGAAGAATTGGTGCAAATAAATATCTTGGCTCATGCCCTTAGGCTAAATGTAAAACCATCCTCAGTCCTCCAGAAAAAAAAATAGAAGTTAAGAACAGATAAGGGGGGAAAAGAGATAAACAATTATTTTTCTAGACAAATTTGTTTTAGAGACAGACTGAAAGATAGTTACAGACCTGTGTCCTCATCCCGGGCGATGGTGATACAGCTGTTGACCGTAAGTGGACATTTCTGCTGAGCTGTGCTGCAGTTATAACCTTCTGTACTGGTACAATTGAAGCAGAAAATGGCGTCCACTACAGGGAGATGTTGAAAGAATAGTTAATGCAATCATCTCTGAGGATGTCTATTCTCAGTCCTCCAGGTCAAGGTTGTCCCAGAGGTCCTTTTTCAGGAAGCAACTGGACTTGTGCCTTAATAATAATAATAATAATAATAATAATAATAATAATAATAATAATAATAATAATAATAATAATAATAATAATAATAATAATAGTAATAATAATAAAGTTGGAAGGTACCTTGGAGGTCATCGAGTCCAACCCCTGCTCAGGCAGGAAACCCTACACCATTTTGGACAGATGGCTGTCCAGTTTCTTCTTAAAAACTTCCAGTGTTGGAGTATTCACCGCTTCTGGAGGCAGGTTGTTCCATTGATTAATTGTTCTGTCAGGAAGTTTCTCCTTAGTTCTAGGTTGCTTCTCTCCTTGATTAGTTTCCATCCGTTGCTTCTTGTCCTGCCTTCAGGCATTTTGGAGAATAGCTTGACTCCCTCTTCTTTGGGGCAGCCCCTGAGATATTGGAACATGGCTATCATGTCCCCCCTCGTCCTTTTCTTCATTAAACTAGACATACCCAATTCCAGTAACCGTTCCTCATATGTTTTAGCCTCCAGTCCCCTAATCATCTTTGTTGCTCTTCTCTGTACTCTTTCTAGAGTCTCAGCTTCTTTTTTACATCGTGGTGACCAAAACTGGATGCAGTATTCCAAGTGTGGCCTTACCAAGGCATTGTAAAGTGATATTAATACTTTACGCGATCTTGATTCTATCCCTCTGTTAATGCAGCCCAGCACCGTGTTAGCTTTTTTGGCAGCTGCAGCACACGGCTGGCTCATATTTAAATGATTGTCCACTAGGACTCTGAGATCCCTCTCACAGTTACTACTATTGAGCAAGGTACCCCCTATACTATACCTGTACATTTGGTTTTTCTTGCCTAAATGTAGAACCTTACTTTTTTCACCATTGAATTTCATTTTGTTAGATAGCGCCCAGTGTTCAAGTCTGTTTATATCTGAAGCTTCTTTAGAAATATTTTACAGCATTCGGTATTCCAGCAAAGACTTCTCATTCTACAGCTTGAAGGACTTGATTCCATTAAATCACTGTTCCCTGTTGAACTTCCACTAATTGTTCTACTTTTAAAAACTCATGAATTTTGCCAGGAAAAAAAATCAATATTTTTTTTTAAAAAAAGAATGAAAAAGGACCCACTCAAATGAGTTATGGGTCAATGAACAGGCTGAACAAACACACCAATTCCTTGCCAGTTTTGGAGCTGAGTCAACTCAACCCACTCTACTTTTTGCAGAACTATTAAGCCTTAAGGGTGAGCTAAGGATTAGAAAAAATTAAAATGGATACACCTATCCAAAAAAAAAACAAAAAAACCAAGAGAAGAGAAGGGCAGCTGGGTAGAATTGCAAAGAATCTCGTATTTCACATTGGCCAGATTGACAGTACTGAATCACACGTAGCCTTGCTGCTCAGATTTCTTTAAGCAAATGCAAAACAAACATCTCTTAAAGCACATTAAACTTCTGCTGTTCCTCGTTAGAGATGGAGTTGAGCAACCTGATGGCAAATAAGGACAATTACAAAAAAAACTGACCAAAGTCAAGTATGGCAGAGAAAGAGTTAAGGATATGACAGCTAAGAAGGGGGGGAAAAAACCTTTGGGTTGGCCCCCTTCCCTTGGTACCCTATGCAGGTGCTTATTTTGCTTAATGGCTAATCCAGAGCTGGCTATCTGCCTTCTTTAGCCATTTTGTAGGCACTTCCTGATGGGATCATGTCTTACCAATGAGAACAGAAGAAGAGAAAGACCAGTTTGCCATTGCCATCCCAGAAAGCATGGCCTTTCTCTTTCTTTCAGATCATGGCTCTCTCGTCCTTAAAGCAAATAATTTTTCCCCACATTGGGATGGAAAGCTATTGCTTCTACTGTGATCCTCATGACCCCAGCTAACAAGAAGAGATTAGCATAACTTGCTGTCTGCAACTGGTGATGTCCCTCAACTCTTGGGATAGAAGAGTGGAAAAGTCCACGAAGGAAGAAGGTGCCAATTTCATGATGGTTTATCTGTTTCTTGTTTCATAGACCCAGTTCTTCCTTCTCCAGAGTACCAGGAAGTACTCAGGGGCTGCCACAAAGAAGAGGGAGTCAAGCTATTTTCCAAGACGCCTGAAGGCAGGACAAGAAGCAACGGGTGGAAACTCACCAAGGAGAGAAGCAACCTAGAACTAAGGAGAAACTTCCTGACAGTTAGAACAATTAACCAGTGGAACAACCTGCCTCCAGAAGCGGTGAATGCTCCAACACTGGAGGTTTTTAAGAAGAGACTGGACAGCCATTTGTCTGAAATGGTGTAGGGTTTCCTGCCTGAGCAGGGGGTTGGACTAGATGACCTCCAAGGTCCCTTCCAACTTTATTATTATTATTATTATTATTATTATTATTATTATTATTATTATTATTATTATTATTATTATTATTATTATTATTATTATTATTATTATTAGCTATAAGACAGGATGATGTCCTCATGTAAGCCTCTTCAAAAGATTTCTAGCAAACAGTAGCTCAACTCTCTTCCACGTAGCTTGATTCAGAAAAACCACCCCCCTTAGCCATTCTTTATTCCCTTCCTTCTTCTGTAAACCTGCATCCAAATACTGGACAAGCTTTCTCAATTAAGGTTGCCACCTGCTCAAACAAAGCCATCCTGATTGGTTTCTCTGAGAGCCTGAAGAATTTGCAGGAAGTGGGGAACCCCTTCAAAAGCCAAACATTTAACATCACTCATCGTTGCTAATCAAGCCACTTCAGCTTCTAAGGGCGGTTTCCAAGAGTTTGCTCGCAAACCGGAGTAATCAGAAATGGGAGAGAGAAACAAAAACTCCTGCAGTGCACCTGGAAGAGCCAGGAGCACCCCCTCCATGGTCAAAAATCATCCTGTAAAGCTCTGGTCGATCCAAAGGACTTACCTGGATGTAGGAGTGGGATGAGGAGGCAAAGAGCAAGAGAGTACATGGTGTTATTTGAGAGCTCAGCTGATTTCTGGAAGTCAAGCCAGAAGCTCTCTCTTGTTCTTCTCTAGCGAACGAGATCCCTGTCCAACAGCAAGAGAGGATTACTCAAGGAGCAAAAGGCTGGGTTGGGCAACTCCGTGCTTACCTGTCTGCGGGCTTTCAAGGCATCCTCTTCTCTTGCATGAATGCCTTGAAGCTATCTTTATTCCTTTCAAGGCGTCCTGCTCTCTCTTGCATGGATGCCTTGAAGCTCTCTTTTTCTTGTGTCAGAGGTGCCTTCAAATTATAGACATATAACTTTCAATATTGCACAAATAAAACAGATCATCAAAGGATAGCACGTGTAAAAAGTATGTAAAACAAATAGGATTAAAACTAAATGACATTCACCCAGTATTGGGCCATGTCAACAGTATCTTCTCTTGCCAGCATGAAGTCTTCCTCCATACACATTGAAGGGCACGTGTGAGATGGATTGTCCGAATCCAAATTCACACAGATTATCTTCTATGGGAAAGCCACACTTTCTTAGACGATTTTTGCTCTTCCCACCCCTGCGCGGAGCTTATTCAGCGATTTCCATACTGGTTGAGGTTGTTCTGGACCAGGAGGCAGAAACTCGTGTGGTTGAAGCCTTGAAGTGGAGTCTTCTGCAAAATCCACTCGCCATCATCCAACGTGGCCAGAAAATACAGGACGTCTCTTAAGTCCCATAAGTAGCCTCCCCACAAGAGACGCAGGTGTTCCTCGGGGATTAATTGCAAGAGCTGCTGAAACTAAATCTCTCTGGCTTTAGCACAAGAGAGGCAGACTCAGAGGGACACAACTAAGCCCTGACCCTGGGAAAAGGATGGCGAACCCAGGACACGTGTATGAACGGGGACATGCCATAACATTTTGGGTGACTGGCCAGTGTTCACCAACACCTGACAACTATTTTCGAAAACATGCCCTGTTCTTGTGCAATTTTCAGGAGGCTGTGCAGGCCACTTGAGAATGGGTTGGGTTCTCACATGGCCTCTGGACCCTCCAGAGGTTGCACACAAGGGCCATGCTCTCGTGCGGCTTCTGGAGTCTCCAAAACCCATGCAGGGTCCTGCTTTCGAGCAGTTTTCAGAGGCTGCAGAGGCTACAGAGGCCATAGGAGATTGGGATGTGCTCTCACATGGCCTCTGGACCCTCTGGAAGTTGCACACGAGCACCATGCTCCACCATGACATCTGGGACCTTTGAAAATTGTGCAAGAATGGGGCATGTTTTCGTGGGCCTTTGGAAGGGGGCTGCAGAGGCCGTGGAAGGGCACTCTTTGAAGCCAGTTCAAGAACGAAGGGCTTGTGCAACCCAGAGCAGCCTCAGGGGTCTTTCAACAGACAGAAAAGATGTACAAAGATAAACGGGGTGTGGCAGGTCCTGGCTGGGCTGTGAGGCAATTGTGCCATTCGCCAAGGCTCACGTGCCTTGGGGAATGGCGTGAGGTGGCCTTTTTCAGCAGCAGCATGGCCTGGAGCTAAGGTTGAGGCCTGCACCTCTACTTCAGGCCCAGCCTTGGGGCTGCTACTGAATGCCACTGTTGGCCTAGATCAGGGGTAGGGAACCTTGGCTCTTTTATGACTTGTGGACTTCAACTCCCAGAATCCCTGAGCCAGCATAGCTCAGCATGGAAACCTCTCCCTTTCCCCTCAGCATGGCTGGCTCAGGAATTCTGGGAGTTGAAGTCCACGAGTCATAAAGTTGCCATAGTTCCCACCCTGTCTTGAGGGATGAGGTTAGGACAGGGGTAGGCAGCCTTGGCTCTTTTATGACTTGTGGACTTCAACTCCCAGAATTCCTGAGCCAGCCATGCTCATTTGCCCAACCCCCAATTCACATTCCAGTTGGCCTAACCCAGAACGTGTCTTTCTAATACTTCACAAGAAAAAAAATATCTTTCAAACATGCCCCTCATTAAAAGACTCTTTAAACCAGTTATAGCTTGGCTAAACCCTCATTCATACACAAGCATCCAGGCAAAATGTCTCAAGGCATTTAACTGCCAGTGACAAAGCTATAAATTGCATCCCTTGTGTTGTGCAGTTCCTCCAGGCTATACACACACAGAAGAGAAGAGAAGAGAAGAGAAGAGAAGAGAAGAGAAGAGAAGAGAAGAGAAGAGAAGAGAAGAGAAGAGAAGAGAAGAGAAGAGAAGAGAAGAGAAGAGAAGAGAAGAGAAGAGATCTCTTGGAGCAACTATCAATTGTCTCTTGAACAATGTCTTCACACACTCTGCCACTGTGAGAAAGCTGGCCCTCCAGAATGGCCCCACCAAAGACATGTTTCCATCAATGAAGGCCAGCTCCTGATTTCAGATGATAAACTACAGGCCTTTCACCTCCACCTGCTGTTCATTGCCAAAGGGAAACACCCATCCCATATAATCTAGTGAGACAGAGAATGTGGATCGACGGGTCCATCCAGAAAGATTATTCGGTGCAAACCTCAGAAAACTAAGGTCATATCTGCAAGCCGAAGAGCAACTTCCAATCAATCTGCTGTGCTTCCTGGAGGGTTGGGGGTGAGGGTGGAAGCATTTAATACTCTCAAGCTGATGAGGAACAAGTGCAGGAAATGTACATGTCTCCCATAAGCTTTTCAAGGCATCCGGTGGTGCCTTAGCAACAGCACTTAGACTTAAACACTGGAAGTTTTTAAGAAGAGACTGGACGGCCATTTGTCCGAAATGGTACAGGGTTTCCTGCCTGAGCAGGGGGTTGGACTAGATGATCTCCAAGGTCCCTTCCAACTTTATTATTATTATGGATCATCGCACAGTCAGCCAGATGTTCAGACTGGATTTGGCATTTTGTCTACCTATCGAGTCCTTACCAAGGACCTGGGATAGGCAGATGTGGATGTTTGATGGTATTACAGATACCGTCGCAGGATGGAAGCAGTTCCTAGTAAGGCCGCCTTTTGCAATTGACTAATGGCGAATTTGTCAATGTCAATGGTGTTCAAGTGGTGCTCCAGTTGTTTTGGGATTGCACCCAAGGCACCTATTACTATTGGTCCTATATTATTATTGTTGTTGTTGTTGTTGTTGTTTACCACTTCATCGTGCTTTACAGCACTCTCTGAGCAGTTTACAAAGTCAGTATATTGTCCCCAACATCTGGGTCCTCATTTTACCAACCTGATGATAAGGACTTAGGAGACAGTATTAATTGTGAATATTAAGGTGACCAACCATCCTCCTTTAGGGAGGACAGTCCTCCTTTTGTAAGTTCTGTCCTCCCTCGAAAAGTGTCCTCCTACATGTCCTCCTTTTTGATATTTGAAGACTAATCTGCAGGGCTTTTTTTTTCTCATAGAACGCTCAGAACAGCGTTCCGGCACCTTTTTTTTTTTTTTTATGGTTTTTTTTCAACTTTTGCATGAACTGTGCTACTCCCCCTATTGGCTTTTGAAAGCCAATAGGAATTGCTGCTGAACGTGCCAAAACACCCGACTGTCAAACTTTGCACATGCAAGTTATCTGTATTATTGTTGCAATGAATAAAATGTTTCTTTTATTTACGATATTCTTTTCTTCAATTTATTTGTGTCCTCCTTTTCATTGTAAAAAAGTTGGTCACCTAAGTCAGAGCTTGGGGACCTCTGACTTAGATTGATGTTCTCCCAATCTGGTCCCAATCTGCTCCTTCAGATCTTCCAATGGTCCACTCATCACCAACGTAACTGAGTCCATCCACCTTACCATCAGACAGATATTATTATCAAAGTAATTCTTCACACAAATTTTGCACATTAGCTCTTTGTTTGATTGATTGGTTCTGGAATGCTGCCTGATTTCCAAATGGCTCTGGAGGGCTTCCATAGTTCAAAATAGAAGAAGGCAGTGAAAAACCAAAGGGCATGTGCAGTTAGGCAAAATCACGCATTACATTACAAAATAAAACCACCAGGGACTCAACCAACAGTCTAACTGTAAGCCTGGTTGTAAAGCCATTTTTCAAAGATTAATGGAACCTTGTAAATTAGGAATCTATCCAATCTTACTGAGCAGGCAGAAACCACAGGAGACACAAGCCATGGAAGTCTCCATAGTGACAATCAGCACTTTGAACTGCATGCAGAAGCAATTCTTCGGCATAACCTCTTAGGAAAAGTGTTGAGATCTGGGCTTTAATATAAATATGTTGTGTCAAACTGGAACTCCTACCATGGCATAGCCAATGAGCTAATAATGAACCAAGAAAAGGAGAAAGGAGGGGGAAAACATAATAGTTGGTTGTCTACTCCTCGCAACTCCTCTCGTTGACCACAAGAGAGCAGAGATGTTCTACCAAGATTGGCTACCTGCTTCTAATCCATCAACAATGTCCAGGATATGCCTATAACTCTCCATCCTCACACCTGTAGTCGGATTGTATGCAGCCAGATCAACAGTCAGGAACTTTGACTAAATTAATGTGGAAGAGGTTAAATTTGTTCTCTGAACTCAGCTAATGGAATGAAAAAGGATTTGGATAGACCTGGCAGAACTGTTCTGCCTCAATGAAATAAAAATTGCCAATAAAGGAGAATATTTGTAACTTGGGTTGAAACAAGGAGTCCTTGATGCTCTCTGAGCTTGGTGTCTTAATAATAATAATAATAATAATAATAATTATTATTATTATTATTATTATTATTATTATTATTATTATTATTATTATTTTGTAAAGATTACCCTTTTGTTGCCGGGATCTTGTAAAGATTACCCTTTTGTTGCCGGGAACAGTCCTTCCTCTTCCCATACTTGCAAACATGGAATTCCTTATGGAACGAGAACCCCATTCAGTTATGGCCGGTCAGTCCTAGAGGAGATCACCCTGACTGTTCTTTAGAAGGCCAGATCCTGAAGTTGAAATTCAAGTACTTTGGCCACCTAATGAGAAGGAAGGACTCACTGGGGAAGAGCCTAATGCTGGGAAAGATGGAGGGCAAGAGAAGAAGGGGACAACAGAGAATGAGGTGGCTGGATGGAGTCACTGAAGCAGGAGGCGTGAGCTTAAATGGACTCCAGAAGATGGTAGAGGACAGGAAGGCCTGGAGGAACGTTGTCCATGGGGTCGCGATGGGTCGGATATGACTTTGCAACTAACAACAACAAGGAACTTCCCTTCTCAAAATAATGGGGATCAAAATTACATGGGATTTCAATTCATTTGTACATGGCTTTCATTAAAATTAATTCATATGATTACTCCCCGGTCATGTGTTTATTAATTTTTCCCTTCTGTCAGTGTAAGGAGTATAGCTAGCCACACCCAGGATTTTTGAGGACCACATACAGTTCTTGGTCCTCAAGTTATTCATCTTTGGATTCCACATTCTTATGCCAGTTCCAAAATCTGGAGCATTGGGAAGAAAGTCTTCGGCCGAGATGGACTCGTGGGTGCATTTGTCTTCTCCAAAACTATTTCCTGCAAAAGGTACTAGAGCTACGGAGTTCTCCAAAATGCCTTTTTTACAGAAAGACTCACACCTCAGAATGCAACATCTCTGCAAACTGTTGTTTTCTTTAATAAGGGGTCTTTTGAACTCTCCTTTGTGTCCCCTACATCCCTCATTTTGAAGGTTCCTGAACATCCTTTTGCAGACTAGGATATTCAGTGACATTGGCAAATTTCTACACTGGAGAACCACCCAGGAAAAAGGCAGAAACCACAGCCGTTAGTCAACCTCCACAACATGGACAACAGATTCTCCCATGGCTCTGTTTTGATTGCCCATCTTTGCATAAATTTATACACTGCCCATCTTGCTATCCCAGCGACTCTGGACAGCTTATAGCGATCCTTGGTTCTAGTTCTCTTAGCTGAATAAAAGGAGGTAGATCCAACCGGTGTTCGTGCAGTGAAATGCCAGGAGTGTGATTTTTGACCCCACTTTGTTTCCTTGCATCAAGGTTAGCTAACATCGCATCAGCTCGGTGTGAAACAACATGTTTTGAAACAGCCTTGCCCACTTCAATGTTTCTGAAGCCTGGAGGAAACTCCACGGGGCAATTCTGGATGAAGACGCAGGATCATAAAGTCCACAATCTTGAAGTCCACCGGCAGGGCAGGGAGAGAAATCCGTTCCATTCCATTCCATTCCATTCCATTCCATTCTATTCTATTCTATTCTATTCTATTCTATTCTATTCTATTCTATTCTATTCTATTTTATTCCTATTCATTGCAGCCACATACTGTCCCTCTTGCCCGCCTTTTGCCTCACACCATTCAACATGACAAGTGTTGCACATAAGATGGATTTAATCGCTCCAGCCTACATGACCGCATTTTTAGTGATTCTCCCCACTGCCTTTAAGTAGGAAGCGTCAAAGGAACAGGTTTAGTGACCTATGCAAGAAAGAGGGTTTGGTTTACAAGCAAAGGTGAGGGTGGCATGGGGGCAGAAGTTCACAGTCCTGAAATATTATCAGCCTCTTCCCTGCCTTGCAGTTTCTCGAGGCTAACTCCTGCCAAGGGACCCTAACATCTTTGCTTCCTTGCCCTCATGGGGTGAAAAAAAGTGCTTTGCTTTGACTTTATGGCATCAGCTTAAGGGTGGGGCACCATAAGTACTAGCTATGCAGGACTTTTGAGTGGGCTCTCATGCCTAAATGGAAATCGATGGTTTGCATAAACAAAAAGTCCCTAACCGGTATGATTTCTAGAGAGAACCAATTTTCGCCAGGATGATAAGAATCGTCTCAAGCCGCAGCCGCTGCAGTATTCCAAATGCTGCCGATGTTTTTTTGGGGAGGACACGATTTCTGACAGATGGCAGTCCAGTCTCTTCTTGAAAGCCTCTAGTGATGAAGCACCAACAATATCAGTCCTGATGACACTGGGCTCTCTGTTCTCCAGCTTTCTTTGGTTTCCTTGAAATTTGGACACTCCGGGCCTTTATCAGAGCAGCCAGAAAAGCAGGAGCAGAAGGACCGAGGCAACATCTCCCGTTGGGGCCAAACTTCTGTTGCAGAGAGGGCTGGAGCAGCAGTTGATAGCAGAATTTCGGTCCAGTCCCAGCAACTGTGGTTTCTCCCAACAAAGCTTCTCCAAGCTACAGCCACGCAGTAATGTTTGACCTTTCTCTAGAGAAAACAAATACAGCGGTAACACCAAACATCTGAAAGTGGCTGCTAGAAGAAACCACTAATAGCGGAGCTGTTCTAGAGGTGAGAATGTGGAGAGGAGGAGGAGAAGAGAGCAAAATGGAAAGGGACTAGTGGATCATTAGTGACTTGACTATTCTTACATTAGAAATGAAATTAAAGATCAAACCATTATTTACCCATTGGGGTTCTCTGTCTGTCCCATCGTGCCTCCTCACAGGGTGATGCTGTCCCTGAAGGAGCAGGTCTACAGCCCGGTGGTCCTCCTGGATCCTGCTAGAATGGCAGATGGAGACTGCAACCAGGAGGACCTTCACTCACCTTTGGTTGGTTGAGCCAGTTGAAGCCCTACCTGGATGTTGGGGGGGGGAGACCTTCCTATAGTAACTCACACCCTTCTTACTATCTCTCTAAATGACTGCAACACACTAATAGAGTCGCTTTTAAAGACATTGAGAAGCTACAATGGGTTCAGAGTATAGTTACCTAGTATTTACCAGTGGAAACACATTATACCAATTATAGAATAAGAAATAACTCTGGATGAAGAAAATCAGAAGTCACTTCTTTATATTTTCTTTCTCCCTTTTTTTGCATTTTTGACTTTGTCTTTTTTTTTATCTCTTTCCCCTTTCCTTTTTATTCTAAACACGAATTCCTGATATCTTTTTTAAAAGATAAGATCGATACAGATACAAATATAGAGATGTAGAGATGTAGAGTTAGAGATAGAGATAGAGATAGAGGTATAGATAGAGGTACTGTATAGATAGAGGTATAGATAGAGCTATAGAGATAGAGATAGAGATAGAGATAGAGATAGAGATAGAGATAGAGATAGAGATAGAGATAGAGAGAAGAGAGATACAAAGAGAGAGAGAGAGAGAGAGAGAGAGAGAGAGAGAGAGAGAGATGTAGATGTAGATATGTAATATAAAATACTGTTCATTTGCATCCCATTTTTCCTTCTGGAGAAGAGAATTGTGAGTGCAGCTCCATTACCCACCTACATATATGCTCACACAACTCACCTGTAACATTCACACACTTGGTCTGCTCCCCAACACACTTGACGTGAGTCCAGTTTCCATGAGTACATTCACCTTGGCCTGAATCACAGCAACTGGCACATTCCAAGCCATTCTCAGGCTGCTTCTTCACTCCTGGAGAGCAATCAATCAATCAATCAATCAATCAATCATATACAGGCATTAGCAAAATTTTCAGAAAGTGAATCGAGCCCCTGCTGATGATATCAACAGCCTTGCTGAACACGTTCCATCATCCCAGACTTGGTTCCTCTTGCTGGAACGTTGAGATTTTTGTGCCTGAGGAAGCTGGGCAGATGCCCTCAGATGAGTAACAGGGACCAGCCCTTGTTTCTTGCAAAGATTTGAGGCTGCATCTGGTATATCCCATCCAGAGATATTGGGATATAATTTCCAGAACCAGTTGGTCCAATTCATCTGGTGGACGCCAACATAAACATCTGTTTTCCAGCTCAAAAGACAGTTTGACAACTGCTGCCTTAGTCATCTATGGGGATTCTCGGTCATCCAGGTCATATTTGTCCCCAAGATGCTTTTTCATGAGGCAACCGGGCTTTCTTGTTTTTCCTTTGAAGACGTTTTGCTTCTCATCCAAGAAGCCTCTTCAGCTCTGACTCCCCACCATCCAGAGAACGCCTCCATTTGAGAGACTGCATCCAGCACCCTTCTCGTTCCTCCTCAGATGTGACATCCTGCTCCCCAAAGAGCAGATATTACAGGGGTACCAAAAATTACATCACAGGAGGGATACAGTACATCTGGTTGCACTCTTCTACTCCCACTGTAGGAGATGACCAGACTGAGCCCGAGGGAGGGATCAAATGCGTCATAAGTCATGAGTCCCTGCATGGCCTCAAGTGATTTAAGTCCAGCCCACCTTGAATTTCTTTCTTATCTCCCGCTCATTTCCCTTGACCGTTAGTCGGCCAGATTCTTGCAGAGAGCTTAAGCTTGCAACAAATCTTTATACTCATTTGAACTGAATCTGAATCTCCTGATTTTCCCGGTGCTTGACACCAGCCCATATCTCACAGTATTCTTCCTGGTGGAGGACAAGAAATCTACCTTGCTCTGAGAAGTGGCTGCAGATGCTTTTAAGGCCAGGTCGCCCATCGTTACAGAGAGGAGTAGAACAGCAGCTGATCTCCAGTCTCCCTGGGAGTTCTGGCATCATATATTGCCGGCGGCACAAGGTTTCCAAGGCACATGTCCGGTACGTCATTTTCCAGGCGCCATTGATCACTAGGAATCAAAGAACATGATGGAACACAATGCATCAGACTGTACCGGGGGGACCTCATATCTACGCTGATTTAGGAATGAGGATGTTCCTGAGTTACAACCCACAGAAGTGATCAGCTAGTCTAAACAGTGATTAGCAAAGCTGGAATGTATGGTTCAATAAGATCTGGAACCCTACATGTTCCCCATTCATAAGTTCATTGTTTCACGTCAAGAGGGGAAGTTCAGGTTTCGGCAACCTTGAAGGCCAAACTTGCCCAATTTGAATAATCTCCAGATATGTGGACTTTAGTTTCCAGAACGTCCAGCATTTGCCAGTTGCTGAAAAGTTTAGGAGTTGAAGTCCACATTGATGGTACTCCGCGTATCTTTGCACTCTTCTTTTGACCATCTGTCTCTGTCTCTCTCTTTCTTTTATCATTATCTCCCCTACTTGCCTCTCCTGCTATTTCTCCAACCTTTGTTTCTTCGCCTCCTTCAGAATTGCACCGTGCTGTCTAGTTTATTCGTGTCTAGCTAGTGGAAAATTTTACTTGCTAATCTGTGTTCACATTTCAGATAGATGGGTAAAAAGATCATAGATATAGTTCATGTATTTGCACTTGGCAGTTCTTTGCTCCCTTCCCAAATGTATTCGAGAAACATCTCAGTTTACCAGTAAAATCCATGCACTGATTCATATCTCCCAAACATTTGACCCGAGTAGCATTTCCTTCAGCACAGTCGCCTGTGCCCCGATCAAAACAGCTGTAGCACTCCATGCCATTGGCTGCTTGGGTGGGGCTGGCTGGAGCTGGGAAAGAAGAAGAGAAGGATACTGCTGATTGTGGTTCTTTAAAAATATACCTCTTTCATTATTGCACTTATTTCTATACCATGCCTACTCCACATTTTGAGGCGTTTACATGCATCAAAAACCAAACATAGTACCATAAAATTGAAAAAAACCTGAACATACCTACAAATTCCAGCCCATAACATCCTATCCCAATTAAAAATTGATGAACCATCACCACTAAGATTCAAAACCCCCACCACAATCAAATCAACTTTCCTGGCTTGCAAAAACATCAAAGATGAGCGAGCTAGGAGTAGCTCTGGAAAGGTGTTCTAAAATATCAAGGCTACCACAGAGAAAAATCTGCCTTCAAGTCCATGTGTCCTTCACCTCTCAAAGGATCACAACTTTAAGCATCTCCTCCCTAGAGGATCACACAAGATGAATAGGATCCATCTGCAGGAAGTTGACTTTAAGGTACCCTAGAATTTCATCGCGCAGAGCTTTACAAGTTAAAACCAGTGCTTTGAGTTGGTTTTGGAAGCACTTTTTGCTAACCAACGAAGGGTCCAAAAATCATTTTGCTCTTCAGGAAAGCTAAAACTCTTCAGCTTTAATGCATTTCTATCAGACAGAACCATACTCCAGTAATTCTATTTTCTCTTTCTTGTTTCAAATAGTTGGGAACTGGGAGGACACCAGAAACCTTCTCCTCCCCAGCCCACCCCACCTCCCACCCCACCCCCATTTGTCTCCAGAATAATATTATGAGATAGGTTGGGCTGAGACATCGGCCCAAAAGAGCTTCCTTGGCTGAGAGTGGACTAATGACTAGGTCAACCCAAATCCTAGAATTATAGAATAGCAAAGTTTGAAGGGAGCTTGAATTGGTTGTCCTACCAGTCCAACACTTTAAATCTTACTGTCAATGCTGCTAACATCGGATGTTCTGCATTGACAACAAATGGAGATGTAGCCATCTTTTTCCCTTTCGCTTTTAGAGTTAAATGATGCTGGGAGGGAGGGTATGAATGAGAGTCCAGCTAGACATAACAACACTAAACTTAGCGTGAGAATCAAGGTTATTGAGGCCAGAGCTGATAAACAATTGGCGGGCTGGAGAGCTGGAGAGAAAGCCCACACTTCAAGCTAATTGGAGAATGTGATTTATGACTGTTAATTGGAGGAGGGAATTGCGCTTTGATACTATGTGCCCAGGGGAGGGGAATTCAGTTTTTGGCTTCGATTATGCAGTGCCGATATTATGCTATTCGAATAAAAGATCCTTTAAGGTAAACAATGCCTCAAAGTTCTTTTGAAGAGTTTCATCTGTCGGAACCATGACACTTACATCATGTTGTTTCTTACTGCTTCTTACACTTCTTATTTACTCAGCAGGTTGGTGTTCTAACTTTCTGTACTTACCGCCTGTGAACCGGATATTGCAGAAGTTAGAGTCACAGTAATAGGTGTTGTGTACTTCATGATCATCTTCTGAATAGACGTTAGCTGTGCGATTGGATACACTTTCGCCTGAACAGCCTTTCATCACGTACTCAGCAATCTCTAAATCTGGGGTTTAGAAAGAACATTGGCTTGAGGAGGCCAAGAAAACCAGCTGAATTGAGGCGGAAGCCGTTCCATTCTGGTTTAAGAGTTCTGTGAATTAGGCCGTTATCGTCTGATCAGCAAACCTTAACTTTAAAAATCTAAGCTGAACATGATGGCTGAGGGCAGTCAGAGAGAGCAGAAGATGAGCTGAGATCAGCCCCATAGAATTTCTGTAGAATTGATACCACTAACTGATTTAGTAAAGACTAGGATAGAGACTAAGATAAAGACTAGGATAAAGAAAGCTCGAACAGCATTCTTCAGAATGAAAAAAGTCTTCTGCAGTCATGACATAAGCCTAAGACTGAAAATCAGGCTTGTCAGATGCTATATTTTTTCTATCCTGCTCTATGGAGTAGAAAGTTGGTCTCTGACAGAAGGCCACCTGAAGAGACTAGAAGCATTTGAAATGTGGATTTACAGGCGGCTGTTACACATAAGCTGGGTTGACAAGATCAGAAATCTTGTCAATGAGGAGGGGATAAGCCGCCTGGGAAAGCCAAGGGAAATCATCAAAACAATTAAAAAACGAAAATTAGAATATTTCGGACATGTGATGCGACACCCAGAAAAACACGGCATACTCCATTTAATCCTCCAGGGAAAGATTGAAGGCAAACGAGATCCAGGCAGAAGAAGAACATCGTGGCTTCAAAATCTAAGGGACTGGTTTGGACAAAACTCAGCAGCACTTTTTCGTGTGGCTGCTGATAAAAACAGGATCGCCAACATGATCGCCAACAGATATGGCACAAGAAGAAGAAGAAGTTTTTCAGCCCTAAATACATTTACTTTTCTCTAAACACATATTTATTATTTTCTAAATATTTATTATTTATAAATAAAGCACAACAATTACTATTTTCACACATGTTTAACCAAATTAGGTAAAGATTGGGGTTTTGTGTGGCTTAAGGCACATACAAATTGAACCTGTCTTTTGTTTTGTCCTTGAATGGGGTCATTTTCGGTTCTGGCTCAGCTTCCTCTCATATGCATATGAAATAAATTAAGAAAGGTAGCATGTGAGCAGGTATAGAGCGGATTCCAACCTCATGGTTAAATAGTCACAATCGATCAACATATGGATTGGTGTTTTTAAAATTAAAAAGTTCCCTGTTCACGGTTGAACCTTGTCTTTCTGGATCAAAATTAATAAGTGCCATCCAACTTACCTGGAAGCAAAAATATTCCTGTATAGTTGTTTGAATCTGGAAAAGAATGGGGAGCCAGAAAGTCAATAAAGAATGCAGGAGTTTGTCACACTCAGAATTCAGATATTGTAAATGTTCCCCAACTGGCTGTGTTGAGTTAGAAATTCTAGGAATCAGCATACGGGAAGGATACCAAATTGGGGAAACTGTGGTTCTCCATGTGTTGTTGGGCTCCAGCATCTCTCACACCCAATCAATCGTTGTTGCTAAGAATATTAAGGTGCAAATTAAATGCACGTGGAAAGCCATAGGTACCCCATCCCTCAATTATCTAATACCTGACTAGCCCTCCCATGAGATGGTGAAGCAGCCCTATTGTGCTGGAGGGATTCCCTGGCTATAAGAGGTCCTGAATCCTCCAGCCATTCCTCTTTCTTAAAGAAGGTCCATTAGATAATTTGATTTCAAAAGCCTGACCGTTTCCAAAAATGGTTGACAAGAAAGGCCACCCTCTCCTTCATCTCTTCAGGAGAAATGGACCAGAGTATTGCCAATTTCCAGGGATTGACCAAAAAAAGGAATATACAACTCCCATCAGCTTGAGGAGACTCTGCACCAGAGAAGGAAGCATTCAGAATAAAACCAGGATGAGGACTTCCGAAGGACATAAAGATAGATCAAAGATGATCTCCATGAAAATCAGATGACTGGGGTGGAAGGAAGAGCCAGGGGTTAGACCGGTTCTTCGAAACCTCTATGGACCAGGAGAGGACTTGAGATCACTCATAAGTGTTCCAGACAGCTACTCCTTGCAAGGAGACTGTAAGGCAGCATCCTCTGGCAGGTTTAGAGCTCTGGGAGACAAGGGGATGGTCATCTTGGTCAAACTGCAGTCAGCGCTTTTGAAATGGCATTAAGTTTGCATACTTTTTTTATAATTATTTTTTTTTTGAAATTGCTGGTTAACTGGCTAACAAATGTTAGGTCATCCCCTCCCTGTGGAAAGCATTGGGCCATTAGTCTGGACTTCTTGCAGATAAAAATGGTCCATTTTGAACAGAAAGGTGGATATAATTGAGCATCCTAGTAGGCACATAAAATTGGGGGAGTCTGCTTACAGAAAAGTTTGATGGTGGAGGAGAAGCAGGACCGATCCCTTGGTGCACACAATTGCTCCGACTGGACACATTCATGGAACATCCCAACACACTGATAGCACCGCAGGCCACTCACTACAGGGAAGGAAAAACAACAGGCAAATGGCAACTGTTGGGAAACTGCCAGCCAATCTGAAATGAGGGAGTCAAGTGAGGGCCTAGCTTGGAATCCTTGTGCCATCACAAACAACATAAGCTTAACTTCCCCCAAGACCCCTGAAACCTTATCTGGTCTTTTCCAGAGAAAGACAAGCAGTCTGGTAAAATACTTGTAACATAAGATGGTTACTGACTTTTCTTATTCACAAATGGTTCTGGTTTGTTGCACCTGACAATAACATTTTGAAAGCCTTTTGTCAAGTGTTCTAGCCACTGCCTAACATGCCAAGTTCTTCTTCAAGCACGGTTCTGATTCCTCCTTATCAAGATCTACTGAGATGGATAGGAAAGGATTATAAGAATCCCAGCAATTGAATTCTTTCCCATTTAGAACCAATATATGCTGTGTGCAGTAAGACAGAAATGTATTTATTTTCCTCCCAATAGCCTGTGATCAGCTAGATTGCTAGAAGGCAATTCACTAATCACAGAAAAGTATGTAGCTGGCCCTTTTTATTAGCTTGGGGATCAACTCTTACAACTGACTGAAGAAGCAATTAGAAAGAACAATATCCCAATCTATATCTGGGACTTTTTGGATGAGCAATAAGGAATTGTGGAGAAGGAGGAAAGAACAGGTAGAGTAGAGGACTATGTGCCAGTTGTATGTCTTGTGTCCTCTGAAGAAGCTTGATATTGGGTTGGAATCACTGCCTTGCCAGCACTGTCGAAATAAGATGAGGCTGCTATACTGGAATTGGACCTAAAACTCACCTGGCCACACAACTGATTCACACACATATCTGACCACTGTCTCAGCTTGCTTGACAATGCCCACCTGATTGGTTTTGGTCTTTTCAGGTCTACCCAGACCTTGACCTATGATGGTTTGGGCTAAGGATGAGGAAACTGTACATGAAAACATTAGCATCTTCACTAAGGTAACATGGCTACCTTTCCTGCTCCTGGTTTGAGGAACAGGCAGGCTTTTTGTGCATGTGCAAAGTGGCTGCGGGTTTCCCACATTATAAAAGGCAGCTTCTAGTTCAGTGGTGGCGAACCTATGGCACCGGTGCCAGTGGCGGCACTCAGAGCCCTCTCTGTGGGCATGCACATCGTCGCCCCAGTCCTAGGCCTTCAGCTGGGTTTTATAAAACCTTTTCGCTTTAGGCCTCTGCCGCCGTGTGCAAAAAAAAAAAAGGTTCAATCAGTCAATTTCAACTTCTCGTGGGAAAAAAAAGATCTTGCAAAGTTGGAATTGATTGATTGAACTTTTTAGTCCCACCCAGTCTGCTGTTACCACCGCAGCCACGCCCACCCAATGGGCCACACCCACCCAGCACCTTCAGTATTATAAATGTTTACATAAATACAGTACCGTATAATTTTTCACTGTTGTATTTTTAAATGTAGCCCTACACTTAATCTATATTTTAAGAATGTTCATGATTTAGGAATAACATTAATTTACCTCTTTTCGGGTAAACATGGAATGTATCCCCTAGGTACAGCTTTCTTTCAGTTTGAATTTTTACGTATCAAAAGCCATTTCAATTTAACCTGTCACCTATATGATATGATTGAGAATTTCCTGTTGTTTTCTTTTTGTATTGCATTTCAAAATTGGTTTTTGTGATCTTCCAACTAAATTAGACAGGAGAAACACCTCTGAAATCGATCAACCAGTCACTTTGCTTAATTTATATCTCATTCATTTCAAGGGGAGATAATTAGGGCTAGCTGGCTATGCTGACACAACAGGCTTAAATTAACTGTTTTTTGGAGTTGCACAGTGCAGAGATGGAACAACACATATTTACCAACTAGTAAGTAGTTGGTTCACACAAAACTCTAAATTACATTCCCCCCACAATAGTTTAAACATAACTGGAGTAATGCTTTTTACCCTGGAGTTTCATCAAATCTTGTGGGCCACAGTTTCTTCACTTTTGCCTTACTGAGTTTAATGGAGATTATTTATGTAACTGGTTCTGCTAAATATTTACGTGGCATTGACCCATAAAGAGGAAAAGTGGGGCTCAAAATCAGGAGAAAGCTCATGTTTTCCCTGTGCCCATTTCCTTCTATAAATCTTGAAAGCCATTTTGAAGCTGTTTCCTGAACAGTAGATGGTTCTCCCTCATCCCACTGANAAAAAAAAAAAAGGTTCAATCAGTCAATTTCAACTTCTCGTGGGAAAAAAAAGATCTTGCAAAGTTGGAATTGATTGATTGAACTTTTTAGTCCCACCCAGTCTGCCGTTACCACTGCAGCCATGCCCATCCAATGGGCCATGCCCACCCAATGGGCCACACCCACCCAATGGGCCACACCCACCCGGCACTCGACGATGCATTAGTGGGTTTTGGGTTGCAGTTTGGGCACTCATCTCTAAAAAGTTCGCCATCACTGTTCTAGTTGAAGGCAAGCTCCATAGGGAGATCTAACCATTCTGGGTGCAGGTTAAAGACCGAAGGGACAGCCGGAGGGATTGTGAAGTTACTCAGCCACTTATTGCCTTCAGACAACAAATTCTATTACCCTGATCTCTGCCTGCTTCTTAATGATAAGGCAGATTTACCTTTCTACTAGATCAGGGGTAGGCAACCTTGGCCCCCTCATGACTCGTGGACTTCAACTCCCAGAATTCCTGAGCCAGCATGGCTCAGCTTGGAAACCTCTCCCTTTCCCCTCAGCATGGCTGGCTCAGGAATTCTGGGAGTTGAAGTCCACCAGTCATAAAAGAGCCAAGGTTGCCTACCCCTGGACTAGATCAATCATTAGCAATTATTTTAAAAAGTACATCTAAATGTACACACTAGTTTTTGCAAAACCTGCAACTTGATGTCACTGGGAGGGGAGAGTGCAATGCCTTCTCTTTAAAAAAAAAAAAAAAAAAAGCATAAATGACTATCTCGTATCCTTGCGTGGCCACTACCTTCAGTATTATAAATGTTTACATAAATACAATATCATATAACTATTCACTGTTGTATTTTTAAATGTAGCCCTGCACGTAATCTATATTTTAAGAAGGTTCATGATTTAGGAATAACATTAATTTACCTCTTTTTGGGTAAACTTGGAATGTATCCCCATTTCAATTTAACCTGTCATCTATATGATATGATTGAGAATTTCCCGTTAACCTGTTTTCTTTTTGCGTTGCATTTCAAAATTGGTTTTTGTGACCTTCCAACTAAATTAGACAGGAGGAACACCTCTGGAATCGATCAACCAGTCACTTTGCTTAATTTATATATCGCATTCGTTTCAAGGGGAGATAATTAGGGCTAGCTGGCTATGCTGACACAACAGGCTTAAATTAACTGTTTTTGGGAGTTGCACAGTGCAGAGATGGAACAACACATATTTACCAACTAGTAAGTAGTTGGTTCACACAAAACTCTAAATTACATTCCCCCCACAATAGTTTAAACATAACTGGAATAATGCTTTTTACCCTGGAGTTTCATCAAATCTTGTAGGCCACAGTTTCTTCACTTTTGTCTTACTGAGTTTAATGGAGATTATTTATGTAACTGGTTCTGCTAAATATTTACGTGGCATTGACCCATAAAGAGGAAAAGTGGGGCTCAAAATCAGGAGAAAGCTCATGTTTTCCCTGTGCCCATTTCCTTCTATAAATCTTGAAAGCCATTTTGAAGCTGTTTCCTGAACAGTAGATGGTTCTCCCTCATCCCACTGAGAAGACCACCCATCTGACAAGTTCATTCTTACCTGCATTCAATAGACAGAAGACAAATGTGATCGTCAGCAGTAAGGTCTTGATCTGTTGGCAGTATTCTTCCCACACAGCCATCTTCCTCATATGTTGGACACCTTGTAGTAAGAGTTGGTGGAATAAGCAATCAGGCTAGATTTGATTTACAAACTTGCTCAGTGGGCGAGAAGCAATCTACTATCTACAACAAGAGACGATATATTTGGCTGAAAAGAGGACAAAAAAATGTCATCTGTTCTTGTTGAGAAGTTTGCCACTATTTACTGATGTTTAACTGGTAGCAAGATTAACCAACTGAGGGCATATGTGCAATTTTGTGGGCGGTGGCGATTTACGGCTTGTTTTGGTATGTTTTTGGGTTTTGCAATGCAGAGTACAGAGTTCCGAGTTCTGGAAATATACTCGGGGCAGTTTTCCTTCAACTTCTGGAATAACCATCAATCACCTGTCAAGAAGAAAAGAAATTTCACTGATCAAGAGAATGCCACATCAGATTAATCCCACTTTTGTGTTACCCCTTTCCCCTGGTCTAGCCTTTTTGTATGTTTCCCGTTGTCTTATCCTTTTTGACCCTATCCCTTTATTACCTTTATAAAACTCAATAAAAATATATATATAAAAAAAGAGAATGCCACATCAAACCAGTGGCATTTCCATATATCATGATATCTTCCAGATATTTTTGTTTTGCTTCCAAAATGATGGCTTGCAGTTTCCTGGCTGTATCTCCAGCTGCAAAGATGTCCATTTCAGGGAGCAAAAAATACTTAGTTCTGTTGTTGTGCAGTTGTAAAAAAAATAAAAATAGGATGCTTGGCCATCATCACCATTTCATCAACATGATATATTCTCCAATGTGCTGTCCTTACCCCTGGCAAAATTGGGCAATTGTGTGGAAGGAACCTTTGCTAGTAATTGAAAGGCCTCGTGAACAAGGAAGCAAAATGTGACCTCAGTTGCCACAGAGATAATTCTAAAGTTAGGGGTCATAAAAATGACCCAGTGGCTGAACCCAGACGAGGCAGGCCTTCTCTAACTTTCTGCAAGCAAATTTTCCCACTCTGCAAATTTAGGCACTCGCTTCCAGAATGTTTTCAAAAAGATGTACTGTGTAAACCAGGGGTGTCAAACTCAATTTCAATGAGGGCCGCATCAATATTGCGGTTGCCCTCGGGGGGGCTGGGTGGGTGCTGCCTATTGGGTGGGCGTGGATGGAGTGGGTGTGGCCTGCTGGGTGGGCGTGGCCAGCTCTACATCATTCGCATCAAGGGTGCCTATGGGGGCCTGGGCAGGAGTGGGACAGATCTGAGGGTCTCTGGCAGAAGGGGGTGGGACCAGGGCAGAGCCCATCAAGCTGGATATGTGAAGTAGGCGAGGGCCATTTGCTGGCCACTTTCAGGCGATGGTGCATTTCTTTATTCCTCACAAAGGGTGACACCTCTCCAGCATGCACCCAGGGGGCGGGACCGACGCGGCAGGGTCTGGTTCCTCGCTGTTTCCAGACGGCCTTGTGGAGCTAAGACTGAATGCGTTTCAGCATAGATGGCCAGCACAAAATTGTACTTTGGCTCCCGGCCGGCCTGGGCCAGGGCCAAGGCAGCGGGGGCTGTTCCCTCACTGTTTCCAGGATGGCTTCACGGGCCACATGAAACCACTTCGCGGGCCGCATCCGGCCCCTGGGCCTTGTGTTTGACATGTCTGGTGTATACTGTGGGTGTTATTGCATGCCAGTAGGAATGCATTTATTTGATTGGGTTTTTTTATTCTGCCTTTATAAATAACTCAAGGCAGCAAACATACCTAGTACTCCTTTCTCCTCCTATTTTCCCCACAACAACAACCTGTGAGGTGGATTGGACTGAGAAAGAGTGACTGGCCCAAAGTCACCCAGTTGGTTTTCATGCCAGAACTCAGAGTCTCCAGGTGACTGACCCAAAGTCCTCCAGTCAGCTTTCAGGCTTAAGGCAGTACTAGAACTCACAGTTTCCTGATTTCTAGGCCAGCACCTTAACCACCACACCAGACTGACTCTCCATGTATTTGCACTACCAGAAAACAGCATCAGAAGTTCTGAAAATGTGATGTATAAATTCTGCAAATAGTAAGGTGACCAACTTTTTTACACTGAGAAGGAGGACACAAATAAATTGAAGAAAAAAAAGTGAGTCTAATGCGTGCATGTGTGCCGTGTCATGTTTCGGTAAGAAGTAAACAAAGCCATTTGCGTGCGGCGCACTCTCTCAAAACAATTCTCCTGTGCGGAGCGCATGCGTCTCATAATCGCGTCTTGCCGCACTGTACCGAGCCTTGACGAATCGTCTTGTCAAATACGTCACATAACACGCAACAGATCGGCTCGGCATCGATCGAATACGGAGATTTACAGGTTAGTCTTCAAATATCGAAAAGGAGGACATGTAGGAGGACACTTTTCGAGAGAGGACAAAACTTACAAAAGAAGGACTGTCCTCCCTAAAGGAGGACGATTGGTCACCTTAGAAATAGCCACTGAACTACTCAGCTTACAAGGTTTAATACCAGCACTTAATGCAGAATCTTCCTCTCAAAGACATTGACCACAAAGCAGAGGAGATCCACTTGTTTTCCAAAGCAACTGAAGGCAGGACAAGAAACAAGGGGCGGAAACTCATCAAGGAGAGAAGCAACCTGGAATTAAGGAGAAACTTCCTAACAGTGAAAACAATTAGCCAGCTTGCCTTTAAAAGTTGTGGGTGCTCCAGCACTGGAAGTTTTTAAAAAGAGACTGGATAGCCACTTATCTGAAATGGAATAGGGTCTCCTGCTTGAGCAGGGGGTTAGACTAGAAGATCTCCAAGGTCCCTTCTAGCTCCATTCTGAATTAATTAATTACATCTATTCTCTGCCATGTCCAATCCAGTTTTCAGCACTTTGCACCCATCCTTCAGTTAGAAGGGCATTCACTCCCCCTGTGACTGAGCCTTATCCTGCCCCTACTGCCTCTGTTCCCAATCACCACCAATCCTCAGATCTTCCTCCAAAACAACCAGTGACAAAGGGTAACTGATTTCGCTCTCAGGCACCACCTTAGTAATGGATAGGTTGCATCACCACCTGCTTTCAACCTGGAGCTGCCGAGCAGGTTTTAGGCCAAGCCGTCTGTCTCAATCAAATGGGACAGAGACTCAGAACTAGGAGTGTTTACCAAGCCAAGCCGGAGAACGGGACAGACTGGAGAAGTGAGACACGAGGCAATGAAAGCAGATCCAGAGCTCATCGTTATCCTATTTGCCTTGTTGGCCACAGGTGGGTTGTTGCCAAAGGAACTCCTTGCTACAGTTGAATAATCTTTTATCCTAAGATGTTCCAGAATAATTCGCCAACATGTTGGAAATGTAAAAAAGTACATGGAACATATTATCATATATGGTGGACACGCCCAGTTGCGAAAAAATACTGGACTAAAATAAGAAGATGGATGGAAGAAATAATAGACCAGCCCGTAGACTGGAAACCAGAGATCTTTCTGCTGGGTATTTTAAACAGAAAATATAGTAAAGAAATACGGTACTTAATTCTACATATACAGTAACAACGGCAGCAAGAATAGTATATGCACAGTTCTGGAAAAATGAGAATATACCATCAGAGGAAGAAGTGATAAGAAAAATCCTGGACTGTGCTGAGATGGACAAATTAACAAAAGAGATAAAAGAAAAGGAAGACACAGAGTACTATTTAATATGGAATAAGTGGTATGACTGGTTGGAGATTAGAAATAATAAATGAGAACAAATGTGGAAAGGTCAAAAATGGAAAATGTGTGTATAATAATGTATAGTAATAACAATATGTATTATTTTTAGTATGAAGGAAAAAAAATGCAAACAAGAAACAACGGGACAACAAGGACAAATATATTTAAAGAAGAATAAGGGGGGGAAATGTAAATAATAGAAGATTACCGTTACAAAATTGCTGTTAAAAAAAGGAGTAGTATACACTGTGTATGTATGTGTGTTGTGTTTTGTTTTGTTTTAAAAAATAAAAATGATAAAAAAATTAAAAAAAGAATAATCTTTTATCCTTTCTGCTAGGAAGGGTCCTTCTGATTTCCAGCTTCCCTGCAATAGAGGCAGAACTTCTAAATATTGAGAAGATATCATTTCAGCAGGGGTTAGCTTATCCTGTCATTCTGGTCCAGGGTGGAGGAAAAAAAATATATGTTTGCCCAAGGAGAGGCTCACACTTCGCTTAACTGTGGTTTCGCTTTCCTGCAAAATGGAATCCGGCGTGGAGCATCTCAGATTTGCTATTATATCCCATGATGCTTAATCTGTGGCAGGCATATCATATCCCAGTTTAGGAAAAGTTCCTCTCTATTTAGGGGAGAATTCTACAGACAGGCAATAGGGAGGATGAATCAGTTCTTTGGCCTGCTCTGGATTAATTGATTTTCCTTTGAAAGGGGTTCAGTTAGTGCCTGCAGTAATGCTGTTTTTAATTTTACCTTTGGCAGCTTCAGGCCTCGTTTGTTACACGTGCCTGAGCACTCAAGAAAACTGCACCAACCAAGAGCAAATTTGTATCAGGACTGAAACTGTCTGCATGGAAGAAACATGAGCTACTTACGGGAGCTGGCCTGAGAACTGGTTAGTGCTCCTGGTTGGTGCAGTTTTTTAGGGTTGCTAAGGGAATCGCTAAATTCTTCAGCAGTGACTTGTTCTGCAGAAATCAGCAGTGAGGACTACAAACTTGGGCTAACTTTCATCTATCACCTGCTCTCAAAGGCATCGCTTTTGAGTCAGATGAAAAGTTGGCAGTCCAGCTTGGGAATAATTATGATTTATGGTTCATGGTACAATCAGCCAGATGTTTAGACTGGATTTGGCATTTTTGTCCAACGTTTTGAGTCCTCCCCAAGCATCTGGGATAGGCAGATGCTGCTGCTTAATGATGTTAAAGGTATCCTCACAGGATGCCAGCTGTTCCAAGTGAAGCTGCCTTTTGACATGGACTGATGATGATTCTGTCAACGCCAATAGTGCTCCAGTGGTGCTCCAGATATTTTGGGATTGCACCCAAGGTGCCTATCACTATTGCACCAGATTGGGAAAAGTGCTACAGATGGAGATATCAGCTCACCCTTCCCGAGTTCAGCTTTTGATTCTACCTTTTTAAGCAAACATACACATAAAACACAGAAGCAACAAATAAAGTATTAAATACAAGGGTGGGGGGAGCTCTTAAATCTGCATCTAATGGTTACCTTTGCCCAGAGGCAAAATGATTTAGCCAAGGTTAATGATGGAATGTTTTAAAAAATGCAAAGATTTGAGATAAGAGTAGTCCTGACTAAATTCCATACTAACCTGCCTGAATAATTTGTGATCCGTGAAGCCCAACACAGTCCCCAAACAATTCGGTAGCTGCTGCCTTATTCTATTTCTATTCTATTCTATGCTATGCTATGCTATGCTATGCTATGCTATGCTATGCTATGCTATGCTATGCTATGCTATGCTATGCTATGCTATGCTATGCTATGCTATGCTATTCTTATTCCCTATTCGTATTCCCTATTCTTATTCTCTATTCTATTCTATTCTATTCTATTGTTCTATTCTTATTCCCTATTCTTATTCCCTATTTTTATTCTCTATTCCATTCTATTCTATTTTCTATTCTATTCTATTCTTATTCCCTATTCTTATTCCCTATTCTTATTCTCTATTCTATGCTATACTATGCTATGCTATTCTAATTCTAATTCTACTCTACTCTATTCTATTCTATTCTGTATTTCTATTTTATTCTATTAATTCTGTTCTATTCTATTCTATTAATTCTGTTCTATTCTAATTCTAATTCTATTCTATTAATTCTGTTCTATTCTAATTCTAGTTCTTATTCTAATTCTAATTCTACTCTACTCTACTCTACTCTATTCCAATTCCAATTCCAATTCCAATTCTAATTCTAATTCTATTCTATTCTATTCTATTGTATTCAATTCTAATTAATTATCCAGAAGTGCAATTCCTACAGATGTGATAAAAGCGGGTAATCATTCAGGATGGGCAAAACATAAAGTGCCACTGCAATGATTATAATGATGATGATAAATTGGAGGGAAAGGAGCATTCTACTGCATGATTGATTTCCCTGAGAAGGAAGGAAGGGAGAGCTTAAGACTGGTTAAAATGGGTAGCAGAAAAAGCTGCCGTAATGTCATGACGTAGCCATATACTTTATTTATAGCCATATACTTTTCACACTGACATATACTTCTTAGAATGTGATATATTTTCATGACCTATTTTATACCTATCTTATTTGCTCAGTGTTGAATGTTACATGTTCATAATTTGAAGGCATGTCTGACACGGATAAAGAAAGGTGACAGAGCCAACTCATGAAAACTCATGAAAATTTAGCCCTTTTTGTAACTAAAAACAAAATCAGCGACTGTGACCTGAAAAGGTTGCTGAGGGCAGATTTAGAGAAGATCAGATGCCAGAATATTTCTTTGCTCGGTTACAACTTTTTTTAGAGTTTCCATAAGGCAGCAGAACATGTAGTAAAATTCAACCCAGTCAGACTGATGAGTAGCAGGCTGCCTCCCCCACCACCCATTGGAGTTGTAAAACATCCACTGGAGAATTACAACAGACACCTCAACTGCAATCCGTTCTCAGATGAGTCATGACAGAATTGCATATGACACAATCTCGCCTCTCTCTCTCTCTCTCTCTCTCTCTCTCTCTCTCAGCAAAAAAGGAGAAATATTCTTAGCTGGGAACAGAGATACAAGCTGAACTATTCATTGGTGAGGTAAAACTCTTGACTATTTCACTGATTTGTTCTTACAATTAAATTGACAATTGATGTACCAGGCTAGAGGTTCTCAATCCCTTGGGGTTAATTTTTTTTAAAAAAAGATCAGAATATGAATACAAAGCAAGAATAAAGAAGAGAAAAGCTGGAAGGAAGAGGGTGAGTCAAAAGTATAAGGGCAAAAAAAGCAGACATTAAATGATTTAAAAATAAATCTTGTACGGCAAGTTGAAGGCAAAAAGAGCATGATTTTTCCAAGCGTGACTCAAAAAATCCTCAATAAGATCAGTGATGGCAGATCAACTTCTCTGAAAGACATCTATTTTCCCCTAAAGAGTGCAGCTGAGGATAGTTCTGGACACATTTTGAGGTCCCGTCTCAATTCACGGAGGTGAGAAAGAGGTGCACACCACAGCTGTTCTTGGAAGCACTTGCCATATACGTGGAGAAGAGGAATTCCTCTATAGGTGGACCACTATAGAACATGGCCTTCTCCTGCTCCTCAAAAGCTTCAGGACACTTTCTTGGTTAAATACAGAAAATAAAATAAAGTTGGGAGAGAGTTCTAGCATTAACAGATACCTCTGAAACTACGTCAGAAGGATCACCGTTGTCTCCTTTGGACGTTTCTACACAGTGCAACAGCTCAAGTATCAATCTAAGACATCTTACCTTGGACACAGGTTGAGGGCGCAAGGTCTCCACATGAATTTCTTTTCTTGTCCTGGCAGTCAGTTGGCCATTCTGTAGAACCTTTCCTTCATTCCTTCTCTGAAATCCCAAATTGGGCTCCTCTAGCTGGTATGGAGGCAAAAGAACTTTGCTTGCCTGCTGAACATTCAGCAGGATTTCCAGTTGTTACTCATCTTCTGCAGATCAAAGGCCCCTCCCTGAGTTGGCTGCACCTCCTTCATTATTGTAATTGCCCTGCCTCTTTATGAACCAGGACATCTGGTTGCAGCTATTCCCCAAGCGAGGATTGAGAGCATTGCGGCAGGAGGCAGAAAAGGAAAAAGACCTTTTGCCACTTGTGAGATAAAACACATTTCTCATTCTATAAAATTTCATAGACTGGTACTATTAATGTTATCGGACAGACAGGAGATTGTTGCTTGTGTGCTATACACAGTGCATATTCATGCCTAAAAATATAGCTGGACAAACACACACATATATATATGTGGATTACTAGAAAACCTGTATGTAGTGGAATGTGGTCTGGATTCCTGGAAGGGAGGGGATGCATTCCAGAGGACCAAGAGAAGTTTAGATACCTTGGTTGGGAGAAAGAAGCTCCTACCTAGATGTACTCCAGAGTATATCTTTAATTATGCAAGTACTTTGCTTTAGTTTGGCAAGATTCCATAGATTGTTGTTGTTAGTTGCAAAGTCGTGTCCGACCCATCGTGACCCCATGGACAACGTTCCTCCAGGCCTTCCTGTCCTCTACCATCTTCTGGAGTCCATTTAAGCTCACACCTACTGCTTCAGTGACTCCATCCAGCCACCTCATTCTCTGTCGTCCCCTTCTTCTCTTGCCCTCCATCTTTCCCAGCATTATATAGGTAAGGAACAATAAATTTCCTTATGTAAATAGAGAAACGGTGTCGACCGCTGGCAGGCAAAAAAAGCAGTGGAAGCAGGAACAACTTCTGACTTCCTGCCGGCTTCCCCATCGTCTTTCCTTAGGGAAAGCTGGCAGGCATCCTTGGAAATGATAATCGCATGACCATGCCTGAGAGTGGCAGCAGACTGGCGTGGGAAAGCGATGGCACTTAAAAGGCCACAACTTTGTCAAATTTTAGTTCAATGGGACTAATGAATCCCAAGATTTGGGGTGCCTTCTTTAAGTTGGCTGATTTGAGATACATTGATTCCAAAACTGTTGCCCTANGACAAATGGCTGTCCAGTCTCTTCTTAAAAACTTCCAGTGTTGGAGCATTCACCGCTTCTGGAGGCAGGTTGTTCCACTGGTTAATTGTTCTCGCTGTCAGGAAGTTTCTCCTTAGTTCTAGGTTGCTTCTCTCCTTGGTTAGTTTCCATCCGTTGCTTCTTGTCCTGCCTTCAGGGGCTTTGGAGAAGAGCTTGACTCCCTCTTCTTTGGGGCAGCCCCTGAGATATTGGAACGCTGCTATCATGTCCCCCCTCGTCCTTCTCTTTGTTAAACTAGACATACCCAATTCTAGCAGCCGTTCCTTATATGTTTTAGCCTCCAGTCCCCTAATCATCTTTGTTGCTCTTCTCTGTACTCTTTCTAGAGTCTCAGCATCCTTTTTACATCGTGGTGACCAAAACTGGATGCAGTATTCCAAGTGTGAATGTGATCAAAATCCTCTCCTTTTATGTGTGAGGGAATTTCATTTTTCTACTAGTTTTAACGCTCTCTAGTTTTACTTCCAACAGTCAATATCTGGTTAGTATTTGGATGGAGAACACCAAGGTTTCCGTTTCAATTGGAAAGTTTGAGAAAACATTTTGGAGAAAGGCAGTATCGATCCACTTTTGTACTGTGGCCTAACTATATATCTCTGTTTCACCTAAAAATGAGGTCAACTCAAATGAGACCTCATCTTCTCAGCGGGCAAACTGGGAGAAAGAAAAGCCACATTTTTAGAAAAGCAACAAAGGTTATTATACATTTGAGTGACGGAGGCTTAAAAAAAAAAAGAATCACCACCAAAATGTCCCAAATTTATTTCTGTGCCCTAAAGGAACTTGGGGTGGTTATTGATAGACTTTGAACACCACGAACCATGAACTAAGAAGGATCGCCAGTTCCGGGCTGGTAGGACGGTGGGCTTTGTTACAAAGATTGCTTTTACAACATTCAGCGTGAGAATTTTCTCTCTTCAGTCTAAAATATATATCGGTGTCTCTCCTGCACATGGATTCCGTGGCGCAGCCCTTTTGGACAGTCACCGCTGTGGTTTTATTTTCTGGAAAACAATAACAAAAGGGTATGTGGCAATTACTTTTTTAAAACGTAATTTTCTGATGGAAGAACCAAGAGAACTTAAACAGTTAAATAGCGCCGTTAAAGTTTTGTGCCCAGTGATGCATCCCCAACAGGAAATTTTACACTGCATCTGAAGAAGATTTCCCTGGTTTGGTTTTGTTTTTTAAAAAAAACCATTGTGTGGGCTTTTGCAGGAGATGGAGGCCAGAGCTGGGAAGCATTTAGCATTGACATTAGATTCTCTCATGCTATCTAGCATATTGGGCAGCAAGGGGTCTCCAGTACTGACTCCGCCATTGCCAATCCTAAGCCCGTATGAGAAAGGAGGAGGGTTGAGTGATGGGCTAGCAACGCATCCCTGTAAAAATTATAACCACTACAGAAACAGAGGAAGAAGAATCTCAAGAAAATTGAGTCAACCAGGCAAGGTGGGAAGAGAAGCATTAAACTGCACAGTAATGGGGCAGGGAGAGTCTCCTGAGAGGTGAAGCCATTTTGCTGCACTATTTTAACAGGGATGATTGTGCCTGTCTGGTATCTGGGGATGGATGGAGTGGCTGGAGGAATGGATGGATGGATGGATGGATGGATGGATGGGTGGATGGATGGATGGATCAATCGATCGATCGATCGATCGATCGATCGATGGAGTGGCTGGAGGAATATATGGATCTATAGATGGATGGGGTGATTGGATGGATGGATGGGTTGATAGGATGGATGGATGGATGGATGGATGGATGGATGGATGGATGGATGGAGTGGCTGGAAGAATATATGGATGTATAGATGGATGGGTTGATATGATGGATGGAGGGATGGATGGATGGATGGATGGATGAAAGGCTGGAGGAATATATGAATTTACAGATGGATGGGATGATTGGATGGATGGATGGAGGAATAGCTGGAGGAATATACAGAAGTATATATAGATGGGGTGGATGGATGGATGGATGGATGGATGGATGGATGGATGGATGGATGGATGGATGGATGGATGGATGGATGGATGGATGGATGGATGGATGGATAGATGGATGGACGGACGGATGGATGGATGGATGGACGGATGGAGGAATATGTGGATGTATAGATGGATGGATGGATGGATGGATAGATGGATGGATGGATGGATGTAGTGGCTGGTTGGATGGATGGGGTAGATAAGAGGACACTGCAACTATGTTAAACATTGGGGTGCCGAGCACCCCAATTTTAACCACATGATCATGGAGATCCTGCAACAGTCACCAGTGTGAGGACTGGTCATAAGTCACTTTTTCAATGCTGCTGTAACTTCAAATAATCCTTAAACAATCATGGCCTTAAGTTGAGCACTACCTGTATAGAGATTTTTTTTCACCTCTCTTTTTCTGTCTTTCGTATCAGCTCAATTTTAAGCCTTCTCTTTACCTCCTTTTATGATGCTCACACATCGGTTCATGGCTCCAGGGCACCTCAAGATCTGCCCTTTGTGGCAGGCGCTCTCTCCACGGCCTGAATCCCGACAAGTATAACACTGTAGCCCGTTGGGCTGTCCAGTGAGGATCTCTGCAGGCAGGAAAAAACATAAAGGCGCTGATCATGGTTTCTAGCAATGATAAGTGGGCACCAGAAGGCCTGAAGGGAAGCAGATGAAATGGAAGAAGTGAGGAAGTTAAGGCAAGTTGTAGAGTTGTAGAAAGTAGAAAGTTGTAGAGATTTTACTTATGGTAAGCTTATTACTGAGCCGAGAGGAAAACTGGTCTTCGTTGTTTGCGTTCATTCATTCCCATATTTTTTTTCCAAATAACTTTAGGTGGATTATAAACTAAAATGTACAAATACAGAAAAACGATCACATAAAAGGGCCGCAAAAGAATGCCTACAGACAAATAAAATAATGCAAAACCAAAACCATGAATTTGCTTTCTAGGAAAATCAATGCAGCAGCTGCTTTTCAATCTAAAGAATCCTTGACTTACAATTGATTAGCAACTATTCAAAGTTTCGACAACCCCCCCCCCAAAAAAAAGGTACTTATAACACGATTCCTGAGTTTCAGAATAACAGAGTTGGAAGGGATCTTGGAGGTCTTCTAGTCCAACCCCTGCTCAAGCAGGAGAGCCTACTCCATTTCAGACAAGTGGCTGTCCATTCTCTTCTTAAAAACCTCCAGTGTTTGAGCACCCACAACTTCTGGAGGCAACTCGTTCCACTGGTTAATTTTTCTCATTGTAATTGTTTCAATGGACCAGGTCACAACCCTGGGGTCATGTGACCTAATTTTGGGTACGGCCCACATTTCTGGCCATCCCATGGTCATGTCACCGTGATTTACAATGTTGTTGCCCAAAACTGGCATTTGCTTAATCTGTGTGGACTTGAGCTATTTATCTGCCTCTATTTTTATTTATTTTCCTTAAAAAAAATTATTTAACAATGACACAGCATATACCGATATATATAAAAAGATACTCAGTTTTGTCTTCCCTTTCAGCAACTCTGCTTGTTTTATGATTATTATGTCTTGTTATAATCCTTTTTTATTTAAAACAAAGGCACAGTTTCCAAAAAGACGTTCTCTGTAAATAAACGGATTATTGCTGAGATTGTGCAATTGTTACTCCATCTGACTTTAGTAAAGATTCCGGGCAGAGTAGATTAAGTCAGTGTTTCTCAACCTGAGCAACTTAAAGATGTATGGGCTTCAACTCCCAGAATGCCCTAGCCAGCATGGAATTCTGGGAGTTAAAGTCCACAGATCTTCAAGTTGCCCAGATTGAGAAACACGTTATTACAGTAATCAATTATATTTCCATACCTCTTTACTGTCATCTAGTGGTGAACTGGATAGGGTTTGAGGGTAGCTATTTATATTTACATTTATTCATGCCTCTGTTTCTATATCACTCCACTTCAAAGGATTCAGGGCACTTGACAATATGACAGAATAGGATGGAAAAAAAAGAAGTACAATGACTTTGTTAGACTTACCTGGAAAACTTCTATTATTGCAGTTGGGTTGGCCACAAACTTTTTGGTCAAGGAAAGCAAAGTCTTTTCCAATCTGGTAGAGCACCTGCAGATCTTGGAAGGAGTTATTTCCACATCCCTTTATGATGGGTTCTAGCTCTTCTCCTGAAGAGGACAGTCATCCAGTGATTCTTAGGCACCAGGATCATAGTCTATCATAATCTGTTCAAAGTGCTTTAGCAATACTTGTAGAAGACAGAATAAGACGATTGGAAGGCATCTTATAGGTCTTCGGGTTCAACTCCCTGCTCCGACAGGTTACCTTACACCATTCTAGAGGAATGGCTGTCTAGTCTCTTCTTGAAAACCTCCAGTGATGGAGCACTCACAACTTCTAGAGATTATTCATTCCACTGATTAATTGTTCTCACTGTCAGGAAATGTTTCTTTATTTCTAGATTGGATTTTTTTTTTAAGTTTCCACCCATTACTACTTCTCCCATTACCGCTTCGGAGAATACATCAACATACACACACACACAGAAAGACACATACACACACACACACACACACACATTCTCTGTGACAGCCCCTCAAGTACTGCAAGAGTATTATCATGTCACCCCATAGTCCTCCTTTTCAGCAGACTACACAGACCTAATTCCCTCAATCATTCATATTACGGTGTGACAGAATGTGATGGAATGTAGTCTGGATTCCCAGGAGGGAGGGGCTGCATTCCAGAGGAGCCCGAGAAAACCGTGTGAGAAAAAGCGGGTGAAGATGGCACCTCCCTAATAGTTCCCAGAGTACTATGATGCAAGAAGTCTGCTTTAATTTGGGAAGATTTCCATAACCATTCAACTAAAAATAATTCCATATATTCTTCTATTATATATATTTAGCTGGCCAACCTGTGAATTTACTTACACACACACAAACACATACACCCAAACACACACATATACAAGTTCAGAAGCAAATTCACAGGTTGGCCAGTTAAATAAAATAAAACCTTGAGTTTTTGTACTTTTAATTAAAAGCTTTCTGCAAAATTTGTGCTACTTTTTTTTTTCAGTGTGGCTAAGGGATTGAGTTGAATTGGTCCTGAACTGCTCATGAGCTACATTTACACAGCAAATTGCTGCACCTTAAGGGGAGAGGTTTTTTTTTTTAATTCTCTTATTGTCTTTCTTCAATAGGAAAGTAGCTATTTTTCACTAGGATAGAAAATTCCAAGCGACAAACAGAAACCACGAAGAAACCTTCTGTCCATCAAACGGAACAGAGAAGTTGTGCGTTTTGTCACACAACCCTGCCACGTTATCTCACATCGACACCCACTTGTACCTGGAAGGAAACGTTGGAAAATTTGCACACATCGATCTGCGCTCCCGTAGCATTGCTGCGAAGGGGCCGTAAAACCACATTCATCTTCGTTCCCAATGCAACTTTGACACACCAGCCCATTGTGCAATCCATCTCGGTTGACTGTTTAAAATGACAGGCAAGGAGAAAACTTACTCAATTCACTCACCAATTTCCATAATGGGGAGCAATCCAAACACACACATATGGGCAAACGTCCTGGAACCTACCCAAAAAACCGAATCTGCAAATATTTAAAGTTTTCCTGATCCTTTCAGAATGCATGGAAAGTAAGAGAAAGGGATAGAAGCCCCACAAATTAGATCCACATGGTATAGTAAATATATATATATATCCCTGTGCAAAAGGGATAGCAAATAACACCTATAGCAGGGGTCCTCAACCTTGGGAACTTTAAGACTTGTGGACTTCGACTCCCAGAATTCCTCAGCCAGCTTTGGTGATAAGCAGGTCTTGAGCAAGTTGCTCCCGTTTTATTCCCTTTGGGTTTAGTGGTTTGTGTTGTTATACAAAGCTTAATCTGTAGCAGGGGTGTCCAACTTTGCCAATTTAAGATTTGTGGACTTCAACTCCCAGAATTCCTCAGCCAGTTGAAGTCCACAAATCTTAAATTGGCAAGGTTGGACACCCCTGCTACAGATTAAGCTTTTGGGGACCCCTGCTACAGATTAAGCTTTGCTGGCTGAGGAATTCTGGGAGTTGAAGTCCACAAGTCTTAAAGTTGCCAAGGTTTGAGGACCCCTGGCCTATAGCATCTTGGACCGAATTTGCATTATTTCACTGGCAGCAAAGTTGACATGTTCAAGCCAACTATTGTACGTCTCACGGCCCCCAACTCGTTGCACTACAAAGTCACAAATCCACAAGCCACCTAGAGTTCCTCAGAAAGTGTTACATTCTGGGATCCGGACACGCTTTTGTGGCTTGCCCCTTTTTACGTACCTTGCAAAGTCACAGGTTGGCAAAGATTTAAAGAGCAACACCACATTGTTCGGAACAAGGAGCCCTCCGTTCCCGCCGGGTACCGCCGGCAAGCATTTGCGGAGCCACAGCCCTGCTTGGTTGTATCTGCGTTCACTACCGGGAAAATAATAAATTATGAGGTTACTTATCGTCATGGGGAAGTTTTCTCTGAAGACTTTTTTGGGGAGTGGCACAATTATCCTGCACCGTTGGTTGCAATCTATGAGGTGAGTTATTGTGTTGTATAGGTAGTCCCTTGAGCCCAAAATTTCCATTGTTAAGCAAGACTGATAAAGTAACTTTTGCCCCATTTTACAACATTTCTTGCCCCAGTCGTTAATATTAATCACCGCAGCTGTTAAGTTAATAAGATGTTTATTAAGGAGGAATATATATTTTAAGTAGTATTTTACTTTTTTTTGTTTCTTTACTCTTGCTCTCTTTTTCTTTACTTTACTGTTTTTACCTATTCTTTAAGAAAATGTAAAAGTGTTGAGATGGTTTATATGGGGGAAATGGATTTAAATCTTTAACCATTGAGAAAATCTTAACCAGCAAGAATGCTTTGAACTTTATGGGAGAAACAAATCTAAATAAGGACTGTAACGGGATATAAAATGAGGCAACCAGAATGATTAGATAGAAAAGAAATATTATATTGATGTGATCATTATTTCTAGGAATATTGGGGGGGGGAATCATATATGTAACTGTTATTTATCAAAATAGTAAGAACTGTATTGTTTCAAGGTTTGCAAAGAAGACATTTTGGGGAAAAGGGGAAATCAACTAAATGTACTATGTGGATTATGGATTATAGAAACCAATTGTTAATTATTTTTCTTTACAAAGGTAAACCCAGCGAACACACTGTTTACCAAATATTAAATGATTTATGTTTTAAAAAATCAATAAAACATATGGAAGGAAAAAAAATAAGATGTTTCTTAAGTGAATCTGGCTTTCCCATAGACTTTGTTTGTCAAGAGGTCACAAAAGGGGATCATCATGTGATCCCGGGACACTGCAACCGTCATAAGTGCATGCCAGTTGCCAAGCATCTAAATTTTTATCCCGTGACCATGAGGATGCTGCAACGGTCATAGACATGAAAAACAGTCATAAGTCACTTTTTTCCAGTGCTCATTGTAACTTGGACCGATCGCTAAATGAATGTTGTAAATCAAGGACTGTCTGTAATCGTATGTGGGGATGACCTCAAGAGACAGAAGGAAGAGCCACAGACTAGATAAGAGTCAGATAAAACGTGCAGCCCAATAACATCTCTACTCTACTCTACTCTAAATCTACTAAGGGAGACACAAACTGACTCAGAGTTCCCTCCACACAGACACAACCCTTTGAAGAACAAGACTTACATCCATGGTACTTCTTGATCATGGAGAAGCAGGAGTTTTGGTTGGGCTTACAAACTTCCACTGGGGCCTTAGAGCAGTTCCCTTCATTAATTAAGCACTTGTGGCACTCCAAGCTATTGGCTGAAAGAAAAAGAATCAACACGCCACCAAACAATGTAATTTCATAATCTTTCCAAAGCGACATTCTCCAGATATGGCGGGACTGGACTTGCAAGAATTCCTGGCTCACTTCTTCCTTCTCTGCCCTGCGTAATCCCGTCTTTCCAAACCTGGCTCAGGATTTTAGGAATGAATGTTCCCCATATTTTCCGACCACACCAATCTGGAAGACCGCAACAGCCACCCTGAAGGGGTGATAAAAAATGTGTAGGACGTGTCGCTAAATTGTGCATCTAGCCCCGTGGTGGCGAACCTATGGCACGGGTGCCAGAGGCGGCACTCAGAGCCCTCTCTGTGGGCACGCGTGCCGTCGCCCCAGTCCTAGGCCTTCAGCTGGGTTTTATAAAATCTTTTCGCTTTAGGCCTCCGCCGCCGTGTACAAAAAAAAAAAAGGTTCAATCAATCAGTCAATTTCAACTTCTCGCGGGGAAAAAAAAGATCTTGCAAAGTTGGAATTGATTGATTGAACTTTTTAGTCCCACCCAGTCTGCCGTTACCACCGCAGCCACACCCACCCAATGGCCCATACCCACCCAATGGGCCACACCCACCCAGCACCCGACGATGCATAAGTGGGTTTTGGGTTGCAGTTTGGGCACTCGGTCTCTAAAAGGTTCGCCATCACTGATCTAGCCTCTCCAGAGTCGTTGGTTAAGAGATGGGCAGCAAATAAATCTTTATAAATAAATACACAGAAATAAATAAGCTGATCGTGTTGACGTGCAGGCTTTCTCAGGAGGTCTATCCAGATATAACCACAGAGCTTTGTAGAACAGTGTTTCTCAATCTTGGCAAGTTTAAGTTGGCACAGCTGGCTGGGGAATTTTGGGAGTTGAAGTCCACACCTCTTAAACTTGCCAAGGTTGAGAAACACTGTTTTGGGATGACATTTTCTCATTCTTTGGGGGAAAAGCAATTTGGTTTGGTTGACACGGTAATTTCCCCTGAGAAGTGAGTTAAACAAACTGATAAGGTTGCCTCCTATGCTTGTGGTTTATCGAAATGATAAGAAGCATCGTTATTGCTGGGAGACCATTAATTATCTAGCCATTAATTATTTTCCCCAAGCTGATTTTTTTTTCCTTTTTAATATTCTTCACTGCTTCCCCTGATTGCACTAATTTATCATGTCTTGGATCTGCTCTATGCTTTGTCCTCTGAATGAAAATCTCACTTTAAAACATTCCAATTTTAATTCGTTAATCGCCTAGTTTTTGCCCTTGTTCTCAATTGCACTCCATTGCAATATGCTTGATGCTTTGCTTTTAACCCAGTGGTTCTCAACCTGTGGGTCGGGACCCCATTTGGGGTCGATCGACCATTTCACGGGGGTCGCCAAGCAAGGCTGTCCGCCATTTTTTTTGTCCATTTTTTCCCCTTTTCCGGCGGGTGCCTTACGTCCCTTGGGCTGGGCCAGCTGGTGGTCGGCCTGCTCCGTCTCTGCCGCTTGCCAGCTTTGCCTCAGCCGGCGCAGGGGGCGGGCGGAACCACACATGCGCGGCGCTCCCGGGCAGGGAAAGTCCTCAACTTACGACCGGTTGGGTAGTCCTCGACTTATGACCGGTTTAGTCCTCGACTTACGACCGGTTGGGGTCGCGGCATTAAAAAGGTTGAGAACCACTGTTTTAACCATTGAATTAATCATTTTTTTCTGACTTGCCCATTACATTACTCCATAAACCAGCAGAGAGTTGATTTGACTAATATGAATTTTGTTTCCTGTGATCTTACGTTGAGGCTGATAACAGAAAACACTGCTTTTTATATATGGGGCACCTTGCAGGGGTTGGACTAGAAGACCTCCAAGGTCCCACTCAACCCTGTTTAAGAAGGATTGGTTGTTTGCAGCAACCTTTCTAATGGAAGGAGGCACCAGAAAATCTCTTCCATATCATGACATCACTAGACTACAAACCTAACTTGAAGACTTCATCTTTGTTTTGGTTTTATAAATCATCCAGACAACTTTAGCTTAAAACAATATATACTTATATTATTTCAAATACCGAACGACACTTAGGGAGGGAGGTTTCATGTGCGTCTTACAGACACACAACAACAGAGAGCAATGATTTGCTTACTTACCCATCCCAAGACAGAAAATGAAGATTGTAATGGACCCTTTATCCATCATAGCAACTCTATCAGAGAAGACGGGAAAATAGGAAATTATATAATGTGCTTCAGAGACCAAGGAATTTGTCCGCAACTGGTTTCAGAAATGAGTATCTACTGGATGGGTCCATATTCTGCCCCTGAACCTTGACAGTAGGATCTATACCAAGAGTCTCCAGACTTTAATACTTCTGGACTTCAAATCCCAAAATAATAATAATAATAATAATAACAACAACAACAAAACAACAATAGTAATAGTAATAATAGTAATAATAGTAACAATAGTAATAATAGTAATAATAGTAATAATAATAATAATAAAGTTGGAAGACAGCCATTTCGGACAAATGGCTGTCCAGTCTCTTCTTAAAAACTTCCAGTGCTGGAGCATTCACCGCTTCTGGAGGCAGGTTGTTCCACTGGTTAATTGTTCTAACTGTCAGGAAGTTTCTCCTTAGTTCTAAGTTGCTTCGCTCCTTGATTAGTTTCCACCCGTTGCTTCTTGTCCTGCCTTCAGGGGCTTTGGAGAATAGCTTGACTCCCTCTTCTTTGGGGCAGCCCCTGAGATATTGGAAGACTGCTATCATGTCCCCCCTCGTCCTTCTCTTCATTAAACTAGACATACCCAATTCCAGCAACCATTCCTTATATGTTTTAGCCTCCAACCCCCTAATCATCTTTGTTGCTCTTCTCTGTACACTTTCTAGAGTCTCAAATCTTTTTTACATCGTGGTGACCAAAACTGGATGCAGTATTCCAAGTGTGGCCTTACCAAGGCATTGTAAAGTGGTATTAATACTTCACGTGATCTTGATTCCGTCCCTCTGTTAATGCAGCCCAGCACTGTGTTGGCCTTTTTGGCAGCTACAGCACACGGCTGGCTCCTATTTAAGGGATTGTCCACTAGGACTCCGAGGTCCCTCTCACAGTTACTACTAATTCTGAGAGTTGAAGTCCAGAAGACTTAAAAGTTGCCAAGTTTGGAGACCCCTGATCTATCCATAAAGAGCAAGGAGAAAGAAATTTTCAAAACTGGCCTTATTACTTTTCTGCTGGAGACAAACCGCCCCTAACCTCCTTCATTCCCATTTACCCACCCTTCCTTATCCAAAGCAGGATCAAGTACATCCAAACAACCTCTAAGAAAAGACATCCAAAGACTTAAAACCTGAGTGAAGCATTTCAAGGTCGCTTAAAAGAAGAAGCTACGGAAAGTGATCTGGCGAGCCACCCCTTTGTATTATCTTACCAGCAGTTGATGAACTTGATGTGACAAAGAAACGTCTGGAATGCATCCCTACTGAAATATGGCCAAGCTAAGGAAGATGGTTGGATTTCCCCTCCTTCAGAAGGGTGGGGTTTCCTGCTTCTTCGGCATTCATTGGCCAATCCAAATTCAATACCACATTTACTTTGTTCCATTTTTTTTTAATACCCTCTCAAAAGAGCTATCTCGATTTGGATGAAACTCTGCTTACGGTCCATCCTTGTCCCTTCCATTCTCTGCCTTCCTCTGAATGAGGCGTATATATTTTATTGTCGCAATAGCACTTGGACTTATATATACCACCCCGTAGTGCTTTTACAACACACTCTTGCAATTTCAGCATATTGCCCCCCCCCCCCGACAATCAATCAGCGTAGCACTCAGAAGCCAATGCAAGCAATTCAAAGCTTCCTAGGCAGACCAAAAGACCCAACAGCCCCAGAAGGACAACATACTATGTAGGACAAACAGGCAGAAGACTGGCAGAACGCACCCATGAACACCAGCTAGCAGTCAGAAGACATGATGAAAATGCTTCCATTTCACAACACGAAATGACAGATTTCGCCACCGTTTCAGTTGGGAAAATGTGACAATCCTAAACGAGGCCAAGTCCAAAAACGCCAAGGAATTTCTAGAATTCAGCCATCCATAGATACATAGATATTAACAACATCTATAGACTATGCAAAAGAGACCATCACCCAACCCAAAAAGGAACAAAAAGACCCTTAGTATCTCTCCACCAGCACTCAGCACCCAGATCAGCATAAACTCCAAGGTTAACATCAGATCAACCATCAAGTAAACAATATCCCAATCAAGAAACTGCTGCACAGCTAACAGTGAACAGCCCAACTGAAGAATATCTAAGACTAACCCCACCAACACTGACAGGGCAAGCCCCCCAAATATAAACTTACTAGCACTGGTGATGTTACCTAGTTTGGGTAATGAAACGTCTGCAAGAAAACAAGCAAGCTCAGAGAGCACCAAGCAGCCCCCACCCCGACAGTCTGGGTCCTCATTTTACCAACCTCGGGAGGATGAAAGGCTGAGTCAACCTTTATGTTCAGTTAGACCACAGGGCACCGTAATGTCAGACACCAGACAGTTAAATTGCAACACATTTAACAATTCGACCAACAAGCTAACAAGAAATCTTGTAAATGTTGGCCCCTTCAACTGCACTACTGAGGTTCAGGTCTTCTCCAAAATAACTCCTGGAAGGCTTTTAAGGTATAAGTCACCCCAATTTTTATCTGACAGCACCTTCTCTGGAAACCTAACTTTAACTAGCTGCTTGAAACGTTAACGGGAGGAGGCTGAGGTTCAGACAACATCACTCAAGTGGGTTAAAACAGTTGGTGTTGAGTCGTTTGTGATTCAGCTTGTCCCAAGAAGCTACGTGCTGCCTTAACCATCAGTTTGGTGTCACTTACCGAACCACAGTGATCTAAAGTCTAGTAAGAGACATACAGTTCAAATACTTGTAAATAAATAAATCAGGTGTTGCATTAAACCATCCTATGGTTTTACTTGACTATCGCATATTAGGCGAATGCAACTACACTTTGTTATCTAGAGTGTCAGGTTAAAGAGATTGTGTGAATCCAGCCAAAATGTCTCTCTAGGAGTCTTCTCTAATCCACCAGATTCCAACATCTTTATGGCTGGTCAAAATACCATCTCAAAATGTCGAGTGTTAGAATTTGAGTCCATAACACCATGAAGAATGTTATGAATTAGGAGGTCATAACAAGCTCCAAGTTCCAGTCCAAACAACTTCCACAAGTTTAGACCAGAATGAACTCTTAACTCTTGCTTGCTTTGAGTCATGCTATGATTGTAGAGTACCGTATCTCTCCTGTACGAAGAACAAATTGGTGTCATTCTGGCATCTCTAGATGACAGCCATGGGCCCTTAGCAACCCTCTGAATGCATACACTGCACTATTGCATTAAGCCACCATGTGATACGTTTAGTTTGGGCGGTGTTGTATGTACACTACTCCTGTGGCCTATAAACCATGGGTGGTGGCATAACCTGAGGGAATCAGGACCCTGTTATCATGCCACGATTTAGTGTGATGCATACCCCAGGCCCAAGAAATAGCAGGGTCTTTTGACCCACAAATTGTGCAAGGCCCAGGAAGGTTTCCATTTTGGCTCTAGAATCTGTACCCTTACATAATGTCTTTGCAGAGATGAGGTGTTCCTGCCATCCGCCACCCCCACTTTGCTCTACTTTCGTCTCAGTTTAATCTGACAATCTGCTTTTCTCCTGAGGCTTAAGGTGAGTTGGCAACACTGTGCAGTTACAAATAGGAAATGTTGCTTGGGTGCTTCCAAAGAGCATATTCTACATGATCTGAAGTCAATCAAGCTCCACTTCTTGGCAGCTGCTCATCTGGGACTGGAATTAGCTTTAGAAAGATGTTAATTTTAATTTTCTTTGGCTTAGGAGCAGAAATAAATCTGATTTAAGAGCAGCTGCCCAGTTGCCCTTCAACCAACAGCCTATTTGGGGGGGGGGGGGAGTCCCCTAACCAATTCCCTCAAGTTTGCGCTGCCAAAATCCAGCCTTCAAACTGCAGAACAATTTTTCATTCTTCTCCTAACCCAGGGGTAGGCAACCTTGGCTCTTTTATGACTTGTGGACTTCAACTCCCAGAATTCCTGAGCCAGCCATGCTGAGGGGAAAGGGAGAGGTTTCCATGCTGAGCCATGCTGGCTCAGGAATTCTGGGAGTTGAAGTCCACAAGTCATAAAAGAGCCAAGATTACCTATAACCCTCACCAAACAGGAAGCAGTAAAATGAGGGCATTCAGCCCGATAGATTTACCATCGAGGAAGCACGACTAAACTGCTCCAATGACGTCAACGTGGCACTTCAAAGAATTATTTGAGACATAATTGTATTTCTCTAGCATCTTTTTATTTATGGCGTTTGAGAAACATTTCTACAGCATGGGAGGAAACAGAGGGGGAAAGGTCTTGTTTGATCCTTTGCACAGCATGCTATTTTATATACATTTGATGCACACACACACACACACACACACCCTGCAAGACACCCATCAATTGCAATTCAACACGTGTCTCAATCAGTGTTTTGCCACCTCATCAAGTGTGGACTTCAATTCCCAGAATTCCCCAGCCAGCCATGTGACCAACACCACCCTCTAGTGGCAAGCCAAGGGAGCGTCACCATAAATAAAGCAACAGGGAAATTTTAAGATTCAAGCCTTATGCTCCAACTAAGTTTTCCCGTTGGAAAAGCTCTATGGCTTACACTGGGATCTAACTCTGGAAAATATGATTAGATGTTATGCCCCTTCTTTCCCCTCCTCTTCTGGTTAGTCATCCCAGGGCTAGGGCAGTAATTTGCCACAAAAACCTTAAATTTCATTCAAACTCATGCCAGAAGAGAGAGGGGCAATACACTTAAATGAATAAATAATTATAGGGCCAGTGGAACCTTCTGAGACCAAGTGGCTCATCTAAACATGGTCTCCAGAACATCAAAGTCAAAGCAAACACTGGCTCCTAGTCCTCAAGATTCTACAGGCCATGGTGCTGAGTAGCTTGTTAGTAACAGAAGCTAAGCGAGGAGCCTCCACGACAAGACAAGACATCCAGGGAAGATCAGAAACGGGAACGAGGAAAGTCGTTCTCCTGCAGCCAGAAGCCAGACCAGCTGAGAATGATGGGAACTGTAGTTGGAGGGGACCAGACAGGTAAACTGTCTTAACCGCATCAGACGTTGCTTTCGCAGGCCTTTATCAGAACGCGTTGGGAGTCAGCAGCAAGCTCCTCCAGGCACTGCCTCAACATGGAGTAGGTGGTATGGAAGGAGATACCCCCCGAGGCCAGTGCTCCGTAAATCGGGAAGCGGTGGAGGAAAAGGTTGGCCACCATCAGGCCGGTTCCAGTGGCCTTCCCCAGCAAACTGACCACCACATCCTTGTTGATGCTACGGCCTAGGCAGCTGTGTACTTCTTTTCTCAAGACCTCCATGGACTTCCCGGATCGTTCAGCCAGTCTGGACAAAGATGCTGCGTCAAGGCCAAAGTCCTGCCGGTAACTGGACAACTTCTTCAGCAAAATGGAAACGTCACAGGCGAAGGCCAGGCCCGGCAAAGGGACAGCAGCGACCAAACTGGAAACCAAGGCCACTTTCCAGATCTCCTGGTGAAGGAGCTTCTTCTTCTTCTCTATGACGGCCGAAGAGACTATGGGGAGAGACAGGAGAAAAGCCTGCTGCTTATGGGCGGGCAACTCGTGCTCCAGCGTTTCCTCAAAAGCCTGGAAGTCAAATTTCTCCAGGTAAAAATTGCTGAGAAGGAACACCTTGGCATCGCTCAGCCCAGCCTTGGAAAGCTTGGTCTGGCAGTCCCTTCTGATCACCTCCAGAACTTCGGCTTCCGTGGGTGGATTCTTCTTCCTCCGCTCGGCGTCCAAGTCATTGTCTATCTTGGTGCGTATGAAGTAGAACTGCTTCCCCTGTTGGACAATGGCCCGGGCCAAACGAACGTGGTTTTCTTTAAACCGCTCGGAAGCCAGGATGATGAAGAAATCGTAACGGGGAAACTCCACCGTTTCCAAGTACTTATCAGCCTGGAAGTTGGGCGTTCCTATACCAGGCAGATCCCACAGGATGACGTTGGCGTGCCCAGGATAAGCGTACGGCGTGGGCTCCATCGTGGTTTCGGTCACTCCCGTTGCGGCCGCCCCTTCCGCTTCATCGCTCAGGCCCCTCAAGATATTAACAAAGGTGGATTTTCCAGCGCCCGATTCTCCTGTGACCGCAATATCCAGCTGGGTGTTCCACATGGTTTCCAAACTGGACTGGATTCGAGTCACCACCTCAGAGAGGCCTCCCAGTTCGTAGGCTTCCTGGATCTCGGCAAGCTCTTTTTCACTGAACTCTTCATAGTCGAAGCGGGTAGGCTTCTGCACCCTGTGGAAAGAGGCAAGAGACGGTCAAAGGAACGGGGGATAATAATAATAATAATAATAACAACAACAACAACACTGTAATAATAATAATAAATAATAATAATAAAAATAATAAAAACATCCACATCTGCCTATCCCAGATCCTTGGTAAGGACTCGATAGGTAGACAAAAATGCCAAATCCAGTCTGAACATCTGGCTGACTGTGCGAAGATCAATAATAATAATAATAATAATAATAATAATAATAATAATAATAATAATAATAATAATAATAATGTTGGAAGGGACCTTGGAGGTCATCTAGTCCAACCCCCTGCTCAGGCAGGAAACCCTATACCATTTCGGACAAATGGCTGTTCAGTCTCTTCTTAAAAACTTCCAGTGTTGGAGCATTCACCACTTCTAGAGGCAGGTTGTTCCACTGGTTAATTGTTCTAACTGTCAGGAAGTTTCTCCTTAGTTCTAGGTTGCTTCTCTCCTTTGATTAGTTTCCATCCGTTGCTTCTTGTCCTGCCTTCAGGCGCTTTGGAGAAGAGCTTGACTCCCTCTTCTTTATGGCAACCCCTGAGATATTGGAACCCTGCTATCATGTCCCCCCTCGTCCTTCTCTTCATTAAACTAGACATACCCAATTCCAGCAACCGTTTTTTATATGTTTTAGCCTCCAGTCCCCTGATCATCTTTGTTGCTCTTCTCTGCACTCTTTCTAGCGTCTCAACATCTTTTTTACATCGTGGTGACCAAAATTGGATGCAGTATTCCAAGTGTGGCCTTACCAAGGCCTTGTAAAGTGGTATTAATACTTCACGTGATCTCGATTCTATCCCTCTGTTAATGCTGCCTAGGATTGTATTGGCTTTTTTGGCAGCTGCAACACGCAGCTGGCTCATATCTAAGTGATTGTCCACTAGGACTCCGAGATGGAGAACCTGGATTAAAATCCCGTGTCAGGGTTAAATGCCAGAAAGGTAAACCCAAGCGGGAGAAACAGAGGCAGACAAAATATTAAATATGCATTGCAAAGTCCTTTGGAAAATAAAGTCGCTTCTCCAAAAAGGACCTACAAATGATTTGGTCTTCTATAACATACAGGTAGTCTTCAACTTATAATAGTTTGTTTAGTGATCATTCAAAGTTACGATGACATTGAAAAAAGTAAGACCGTTTTTCACACTTAAAACTGTTGCAGCATCCCCATAGTCACATGATCAAAATTCAGACACTTGGCAACTGATTCATATTTACGACAGTCACAATGTCCCGGGGTCATGCAATTCCCTTTTGCGACCTTCTGACAAGCAACATCAAAGGGCAAGCCAGAGTCACCTAACAACGGTATTACTAACTTAACTGCAGTGATTCACTTAACAACTGTGGCAAGATGGTCGTAAAATGGGGTTAAAACTCGTTTTCGCAAGTGTCTTGCCCAGCAATGGAAATTTAGGGCTGGATCGTGGTCGTACATTGAGCACTGCCTCTACTCAAGAGAAATAAATCTAATTCCAAATGATTAACAATGATATCTAAACAGAAAAGTCCACGTTGTCCACAATCAGTTTCTCAACTCTGCCCCCTGGGCAGGATTCTGGCACAGCTCATCTAAGTCAGGGATAGGCAACCTTGGCCCTTTTATGACTCGTGGACTTCAACTCCCAGAATTCCTGAGCCAGCATGGCTCAGCATGGAAACCTCTCCCTTTCCCCTCAGCATGGCTGGCTCAGGAATTCTGGGAGTTGAAGTCCACGAGTCATAAAAGAGCCAAGGTTGCCGACCTCTGATCTAAGTCAATAAGCTAATACAGTGTTTCTCAACCTTGACAATTTTAAGGCATGTGGACTTCAACTCCCAGAATTCCACAGCCAGCATTGCTGGCTGTGGAATTCTGGGAGTTGAAGTCCACATGCTTTAAAATTGTCAAGGTTGAGAAACACTGAGCTAATAGAACAGAATCTCTGTAGTTCAGGGTTGCATGCTTGCAGATGTTTCATTACATTATAAGATAACATCGCAAGGGCAGGTCAAGAAGCAACGGATGGAAATGAATCAAGGAGAGAAGCAACCTAGAACTAAGGAGACAATTCCTAAGAGTGAGAACAATCAACCAGGGGAACTGCTTCCTTCCAGAAGTTATGAATGCTCCAGCACTAGAAGTCTAATAAAAGAAGGACGAGGGGAGATATGATAGCAGCGTTCCAATATCTCAGGGGCTGCCACAAAGAAGAGGGGGTCAACCTATTCCCCAAAGCGCCTGAAGGCAGGACAAGAAGCAAAGGATGGAAACTAATCAAGGAGAGAAGCAACCTAGATCTAAAGAGATATTTCCTGATAATGAGAACAATTAATTAGTGGAACAAGTTTCCTCCAGAGGTTGTGGGTGCTCCAACACTGGAGGCTTTAAAGAAAAGATTGGACAACCATTTGTCTGAAATAGTATAGGGCAGGGGTAGGCAACCTTGGCTCTTTTATGACTCATGGACTTCAACTCCCAGAATTCCTCAGCCAGCCATGCTCAGGGAAGAGGTTTCCAGCGGCTCAGGAATTCTGGGAGTTGAAGTCTACGAGTCATAAAAGAGCCAAGGTTGCCTACCCCTGGTATAGGGTTTCCTGCCTGAGCAGGGGGTTGGACTAGAAGACCTCCAAGGTCCCTCCCAACTCTGTTATTCTATTCTATTCATTGTCACATTGCAGATCAACCATGTTTACACACCAGAGGAAAGAGACAATAAGAGGCTAAGAAGGAAGCAAAAAGTCCCAAAACATATCCTCCCTAGCAACCCACACCCAGATAAGCAGGAAATAACACCAGACTATCAAGCAGGAACCCATAGCCTAATCAAGGAACCACAGAGGAGGAAAACTGGAACCCCATCAACACTGGCAGAACAAGCTACAGATAATCCTTGGCTTAGGACAGTAATGGAGCCTGCCCATCGCAGCTGTAAGTTTCAACTGTCATAAAGGAGGTCCTTTATGACCTGACTTTATAACCTTTTTTTGCAGCGGTCATGAAATGAAGCCATTGTTTGCTACCGGATGGTTTTGCCAAACACAAGGAAATGCCAATTTTCGGCAAAAATATAAATCTGTCATGTGATTGAGCAAGCCAGTTGCTGAGTGGCATAAATGCGGTCACATTCATTGTTAGAACTTCAGAACCAGGTCATAGGTACCTATTGGGGAGAACCCATTGTAACTTGGAATGGTCGCTAAAGTGACCAGTTGTAAGTCAAAGACTATCTGTACTGTACATAAACAGGGAGCAAACTCCACACTTACTCGCGCTGTTGAGGTTACCTAGTTGCACGATGAAATATCTCCAATCAAGCTCAGAGCACCAAGGACAATATTAACAGCAAGTTAATACTAAAACAAACAACCATCATGCCAACATGACAACGGATTGCAACATTTATAAAGCACATTCAGGAGTTCTCTGAATGTGGGCACTGGTGTTTCCATCCTCCCTTTCTCAGCCTCGGAGATATCAGCCTGGGAAAGTGATCCAGGGGGATCAGCTATGGAAAATAGGAGGATGTTAGTGTATCGGGAGTCTTTTAACCAGAACTCAAGAGGCAGCAATTCCAGGATCCAATCTGGGTCGGTCACCAAGACCAGGGGTTTTGTCCTCCGAGCTTTTGGAGTTGTGCTGGAGCCCATCCTCAAGGAACTTTCCTCACAATCTTCTCACACACACACATTCTGGCAAGAGGATGGGCTCCAGCATGTGTCTGAAAGCTTGGAAGACGAAACCTCTGGTTCCGGTGAGGTTGGATCCTGCAACATTATCCTGCAGTGGTGTCCCAAAGGTGCATTTCCAGGAGGCAAAGAACATTCCAAACTGGCACGTAGCCAGGATATCCTGTGATAAACTTAGTAGCTCCTCCTACTGACCTGCTAATATATTAACTGAATAGCTAAACTACATTACCCATAAGCCATCTCTTAAGGAGACAGCGCTTAACCCAATAAATGCCAAACATTCTAACCCATGATCCAGAACACTTCAGTTGCCAAGAAAGTCCAGTTGCCTCGTGAAAAAGCATCTTTGGGACAACCATGACCTGGATGACTGAGAATCTCCATAGACATTATCCTGGGACACGTATATTCGCCTTCCTTCAAGAGCAATTCCACCTTTCGGTCGGCCGGCTGTCCTACCAACCTTTCATATAGGTGCAGGTCTTTCAGCAAATCTTCTCGCAGATGGGGGCAATCCAGTGCACCAGGCTCAAAAGCAGAGATCAGATATACAAAGGGATCCACCAGCGGGAGGGTCCCCAGAGATTCAGTACAGGCCTCCCGGAGGGCCTGGAGGACTTCTGACCGATTGTAACTTTGTCCCATCAACCGCTTGAGAGTGTGAAGTTCCAGATCAGCCTTGGACCGGGCAAAGTACACTTTTTTGCCTGCCTGCCGGGCCTCCAACACCAGGCGGGCGTGAGAATCCTCAAACTTGTCTTCAGTTACCAATACAATCAGGTCAGCCTCTCTCATCCATTGATCCGCATGTCCCTTGCCATCCATTGAGCGCTCCCACAGAAGTAAATTACTGTAAATTGGGTCAGGGTACATGATGGGCTTTTCAGATTTCACCGGAGCTCCCACGGGGACTGATCCCACATCATCTTCGGTCATCACCCGTACGGCATTCAGAAGAGCTGATTTTCCGACTCCAGATTTTCCCACAAAGATGACAGAAACGTCCCCACAATCGGGGGAACCCGGAGCAGAGTTTGGAGAGGTCTTTGAGGACATGTTCGGTGTTGACGAAGAAATTATCTTTTCTTCTGTGCAGACTGTAAACCCTTCAAGAAGGAAAGACAAAGGTCAGAATGGAAGAAATGTCTTTTTTTTTAGACTAAAATCAAATCCTAAGCACGGCTATAGATATTTTAAGCAGCGCTCGGTCACAAGTGTTGACTACACTAAATCAAAATCAATTGGTCTCAGGCCCAGAGCACAACAAGGTAATAATAATTTCATTTAATTTCACTGCATGCCCATAAAAATTGGGATGGGTACATTTTCACTTCCCTTACCAAAAAAAAGTGCTTATTGTTCTTTTCTTTATTCAAGCTTCTTCCATTTTTCATTGCTCAACAAGACTAACAAATCATAACGACGTTTTCAAATTAGGCAATGATGCAACCAAGATGTGGCCACCAAAATCAGGGATTTTTTTAAAAAAAGGTTTTATCCTGTTTCTACTGTTTTTGCACATAAATCAAGGTGACAAACATACCTAATATTCCTTCTTCCTCCGGTTTTCCCCACAACAGTCCCTCTACAAGGTGGGTTGGGCTGAGACAGAATGACTGACACAAAGCCTCCCAGTTGACTGACCCAAAACCTCCCAGTCAGCTTTCATGTCTGTGGTAGAACTAGAATTCACCGTCTCCTAGTGACTGGCCCAAAGTTTCGTTGACATGTATTTTGAAAGCCTGGAAAATCCAGAGTAGTCTGGCTGCCAGCAGTTGCTAGTTTGTTTAATTCACAGTCACACTACCCAGGGTGCACCATAAAGAGACGAACTAACTTCACACCCTTCACATTTTATTTTACTAGCACTGATGTTGTTACCTAATTAAGGTAATGAAACGTCTGCAAGAACACAAGCAAGCTCAGAGAGCACCAAGGACCTCACATTTTATTTTATTTTTGGGGTGGGTGGGTGTTCTACTAATCTTGTCGAAATGTTAATTTATATTGCCAGTCCACGTATGATATGCCGTACGCTAAAATAAATAAAATAAATGGCCAGCCAGCTTTCATATCAGAGGCGGCACTAGAACTCACTTCACCGGTTCCTGGTTTCTAGACTGGCGTTTTAACAGCTAGGCCAGACTTTTTATTTTCTGGCTTTCACACTAGCTGGGGGATTCTGGGAGTTGAAGTCCACAACACTTTCAGAGTTGCCAAGTCAGAGAAACCCCGTTCTCTATGAGGCCATCTAGCCGGGCATGCTAGAAAGAGGCAGGGAGGGGTGGTGGTGGTTTCTGGAGAATAGCTTGACTCCCTCTTCTTTGGGGCAGCCCCTGAGATATTGGAACACTGCTATCATATCACCCCTAGTTCTTATTATTATTAAACTAGACCAGGGGTAGGCAACCTTGGCTCTTTTAGGACTCGTGGACTTCAATTCCCAGAATTCCTGAGCCAGCGTTGGGGAACTATGGCCCCCTTCATGACTAGTGGACTTCAACTCCCAGAATTTCTGAGCCAGCATGGGGGAACTATGGCCCCTTCATTACTTGTGGACTTCAACTCCCAGAATTCCTGAGCCAGCGTGGGGGAACTATGGCCCCTTCATGACTTGTGGACTTCAACTCCCAGAATTCCTCAGCCAGCATGAGGGAAACTTTGGCCCCTTCATGACTTGTGGACTTCAACTCCCAGAATTCCTCATCCAGCATGGGGAACTATGGCCCCTTCATTACTTGTGGACTTCAACTCCCAGAATTCCTGAGCCAGCATGAGGGAAACTTTGGCCCCTTCATGACTTGTGGACTTCAACTCCCAGAATTCCTCAGCCAGCATGAGGGAAACTTTGGCCCCTTCATGACT